ATGAAGTGCATGGCCGCCCTTATCGACGAGGTGCGTACGGACTACCCGACGGCGACCATCGTTCCTATGATCTATTGGAACGGCAACGAGCTTGTTGGGAAGGACGGCATTGAGCCCAGCGGCACCTACCCGTTCGATCACCCCGCCGGTGAAGCCAGCCAGTTGCTGGCAGACACCAAGAGGCACCTGGCCTGGACCAGGGATTTCGCGGCCCGCAAGGGCTGCGCATGCCTTGGTGTCATGACCGGCGCGAAAAGCTATCTCTACGGCTTCTCTATGATTTGGGACCGTTACATGACGGAAGTCCGGGACTTTATCATCGGCGACCCCAATCATATATGCTCGTGTACGTAGACGCTACCCTTCGTTGAGACCATCGATTTGCTGGACAGGTATCATATGTGCTTCAGTGACGACAACATCACGAAGACCGTCCAGTTCATGCGCGGAACCCATCACATGTTGTATATGCTTTCCATCTTGCGCCCCGCAATGGGCAGCGTAGCCGAGCTGATACGTTCGCACGACTGTACCGTGCGTCCGATCGATGTGCTCGAGCTGCGCCACCAAGAAGATTGCACAGTCAACGTTGAGGTTCTCGCGTACTGCAAGGAGACGCTAACGAAGTGCGGTGTTTCTTTGTCAGAGATGATCGGGCTCCCTTTCACCCGTGAAGAAGTGGAAGTCCGGCAGCCTCTCGATTTCGCCCCCGTCAACCCAGCCGAGTTTGCAACTTCAGGCGAGCCTTCCGGTGCAGATGTTTCCGAAAGTGTTCGCCCGGCGCAAGCCGGTGCAAAGGCGGCTGCGGTGGCAAAGAGGGACGAGGAGGTGAGCAGGCCGGTACCACTCGACTCCTACGGGAGGAGCGTGACTGGGGGCCATTATGACTGCTGGGTGTATAGCGTTCATGATGGCGTGAAGTATGTCGACTACGGCGAGGGCCCCAAGAGACTCGACATCATCAAGCAGCCCTCTTTCGATTACGACCCTTCCGTCAGGAGAATCAGTGATGAATACCACCGTTCCCTGACATGCATCTCCAAGATCCTTCGTGGTCGTGGAACAGAAGGATGCGGGTATGTGATGGATGAGGACGGCTACATGGACCTCGAAGACCTGGGACTCGCGCTTCGCAAGGAGCTGCGACATCCCATTCCATGGAATATTCAGAACATCATGGATATCTTCAAGCTGGACAAGAAGCAGAGGTTCATTGGCCTTGGTTGCCCGGACGCAAGCCGGTGCGGAGACGTCCCATGTTCTCATTGGCTTTTCAAGCTGAAGGCCTCTCAAGGCCATGAGGACTGGCTCCAGATCGACGACTCCGGCATCGCGAAGGAGTGGTACGTGAACCCGGGGACTGACCTCGGGCGCTGGTCCGGCTGGAATGTTTGCAGCAATCCTCCAACTGTGCTTTATCACCGCACTGATAAGCGGAATTTCGCTAATATCATGCGGAACGGACTATTGCCCGGCGGCGGAGATCAGCATGAAACAGGCCGGCCTCACGTCTTCTTCGCCGACGTCCCCAGCACGAATGAACATTACATTTCAGGTGTACGTGCGAACAAACCCCTGGAGATACAGATCGACCTCAGAATGGCCATTCGCGCAGGGCTTTGCTTTTTCAAGACGGAGAGCGATGGCGTTCTCACGCGCGACAAGGTGCCCAACTACACGATTATTTCGGTATTGGACGCTACAAATGGCGATGTATGGTACACTCGCTCCGAGCAATCGGATGCAGGTGCACCAGCTGAGGCGACTGAAGATGAACCCCAGGGGATGAAGCGCGACCAAGCTGTGGTTGATGATCGTTCAACGGCGCTGGAACGTATTGCTGCGACGCGCACAAATGTGGCCTCTCCTCGCGCCCCGCAAGGGGAAGCGAAGAGGCAGAAGACTTTCAACCCAATGGAGAACGTTGAGCTGAATGTCGCCACGTGCCCGGTTTGCAACAACAGTGTCTTCGAGGGGCAGGTGCACTGCTCATCATGTGGGCAGTTGTCTCCCCTCAATCCACGCCTGTTGAAGGAGCAGCAAAAGACTTACATCATGCAGCGTTCCAACCTGTTGAAGAAGATGGGCACGTCACATCTCAGGTCCTTGCATCTGTGGGAACATTCGACCTTCGCGAGGAGGATCGTAACAACATCATTCGTGGCTTGAACTCCCCGGACAGTGCTGTTATTCAGGAGGCACGGAAGAAGCTCAAGTCCACCCTGAAGAACGGCTACCACTCTCTGCTTGACCGCTACGAACTCGATCTTCAGTACAGGGTTCGTATGCTTGAGGTGGGCCGTCGGGAGGCGGATATGCTCCGCATGGAGCTGAGCGCAAATCTCGTCTTGGCTGCTCCAAAGCAGTCGCAGGCCCAGCGCACTCTGGGAGTTGGCCTTGGATCAACTTCGGAGTCGCGAATCGCAAGGCTCGCGTATATCAAGACAGATTTGGAATTCCTGCCCAACGAGCTGCAAGAGGCGTTGTCCTCTCGCTGGATCGTGATGTTCCAAGGGATGCCTTACAGCCCGAGAGCTTTCGTCAACGTGGTGATGGAGCAGAATAGGCCCCGCAGCATTGGTTGTTGGAACGGGATCATTCATTTGCGAGGCAACACGTTGGACGACCTCCGCAACGAGATGGACTGGATTTTCAGCCAAAATGAGCGGTACGCACGTAACTCGATTGAATTTTCGAGGAACAAGAGCAGCAAGCACCTTGCTCGCAATGCAGCCCGCTATGCTGAGACGAGTGCTCCCGCCGCCCGCGAGGGTGAGCATTCGAGCCGTGGCAGCTGGCAGAATTGGTCCGAATGGAGCGGATGGGGTGACAGTAGCGGAAGCTATTCATCTTGGCGGTGGCGCTAAAAGCGCAGCCGTCATGGTTTGCATGTGAGCAATGGTTCCCCTGACCTTCTCCCTCTGTTGTGTTACTGTTTGGCTGCTTTGTGAAAGGCCCCTTTAACACGCAGAGGGGGGTGAAGAATTTGATCGGTCAATATGGGGTTTTACATCCGTTGCATCCGCAGTGTGGCTGTTCAAGCGTGAAAATGTGCGAGCAGCGCGCTTGGACGGTTTGTTGTTTCCTTTTGGGCCCCAAACCGGTAACCCTTGAATCTATACTTTATAGCCGGTTTTATGTCCTGTTTTATATATATATATATATATCTATATATCATTATATATATATATATATATTCGTTCTTTGAATTTGGTGGGTCCTTTTGTTCTTTCTGGCCCCTTTTTCTTGTTTCTTGCTTTTTTTTGTGCCCTACTTGGCGAGAAAGTCTGTCGGGAAGGGACGGGTTGACCCCATATTAATCAGGGCTGTGGGAAATGACCACTTCTGTGATACAACAAAAAGCGCCTCCCAAAGACAAACCCCCAGGTAAAGGGGTAAAGGGGGTCCGCCCCAAGGTGCTGACATTTTTTTTGAGGGGGGCCGGGGGACTCAATATCCCTGGAAAAGAGTGCCAGCAAAAGAACTGGCTTGCCTGAAAGCCACAAAAAGGGCCCGGTGATGTTCCCGGATTAACAACCAACCAGCTTCATTAATAGGGTGATTTTCCCTGGGTGAAATGTGGTTGGAATCAGAGCAGTTTATCAATAAGCTAGGTTGAGTAATTTGATGGATATGGGGTCAACATGACCGTTTTATATCGGTCGCTATATGTACCCTCCCGCCAATTCACATGGAACCTGACGCTCAGGAAATGGTCCCTTAAAAAAAGTAATGTCCAAACCAGGACCCCCTGTCAGGTTCCATGTTAATTGGTGGGAGGGCAATACTAAGAATAGTCACAATAGTCACTGTTGTAGATATACATACACATATGCATGTGTATATATATACACATATTTGTTGTAGGCCCAACAAAACACACATTGCCAACAAACACTGGACATTCAATGAATACATAAATAGATAAATCAAACATAAATTAAGCAACATATGTGCACATTATATTACGGTGGCTGTATTATTTATGTCCCACTGCCGGACAAGGCTGCGCGATCCCGGTTGAGTGGCAATAAAGCCCGGTTATCCCACTCACGAAACATACCGATTACCATCCCCCCCCCCAGACAAAACACACCAGGGTTGAAGTCCGAGTAAAATTGGCCGTCCCATTGAAGAGTGGCTCCAGATCACTTTTGGGAAACCCACAACCCTAGCAATCCGCGGTCGGTGGATTCATCCGCGGCGATTTCTTAAGTGCAGTGGGGGCGGTGACCAGCCACAGAAAGGCAGAGAGTGTCTGGCTGTTTGATTCTTATGCCTCCATTCGCATAAGAATATTTTTGATTTTCATCTCTTGATTTAAAAGGGAATCTATCACTACGGGATGTTTGTTTTCATTTTTCCCAGGGGGCTTTCGCAAATGGAAGATTGGTTTTTTGGTGGGCTTCTTTGACTAGCAAAAAAGGTAAGGACCTGACAGTTCTTCCTTTAATTGGGTGGAACCCGGAACCTGGAACATTTGGGGGCCTCGTGTCCATTCAGGGCGTGTGAAATCGTGTGAAATGGGTTTTGTTGGGTTTCCCTGAAAAGCTGTGGTACTTAGGTGTTAGCAAGTTGTCAACCTAGGTTCTAACCTACCTAGAAGCCTCCAGGGTTAACCCAGCTAGTGGGTTATAGCCCAGGTCGGTACCAGATGGACGAAAATTATCTGGGATAGTCCTGTTGGTTTCCCTATAAAACCACTTAAAACATGGAGTACCCTTAAACCACCCCACCTGGTTTCCCTTTAAAACCACTAAATAGACAAATGTGGGGTTGATCAATATTCCCTTCGGCCCCCAAATGACCATGTAACATCTCCCACGCGGGAAGTATCGTCTCTTTTTTTGTGTTTTTCCCAACCAATGGTCATCCCATGTCTATCGGACCTTTTGATCAACCCCCAAGTACAAACTCAAGAAACAGAAGCAAACCCCCCAGCACAACTCCCCTCGGATCGAGTGTCCTCCGTTCGTTGAACTTCCGTTTGCGCGAGCGAGGACAACGTGCCAGTGTGTGACCCAGAGCATCTCTTCGAGGAGCCTGGGCCTCAAGGAACCTCCGGAACCGGGTGTTGGGAATGAAACCTTACCTCTTAAAAACACAACTTTTCAACTTTTTGGGTAACCTGGGCTATATGTCTGTAAAAGATTAACTTCCCCAGGGCTTGGAGTTTTAAGGGGTAAGAAACTAGGGATTCCCTTAGAGTAATTAAACCACAAGAGATGGTGTATCTTGGGGTCATTGGCCTGTCGAACCAGCAAGGAAAGTGAGGACACCAGGGGCCCCAAACCAGGTGGGCGGTGCCTCAAAATGGGTCAGTCCTTGTTTTTCTTGGCGGGGGGGGGGGGGGGGTGTGGCCCTTCTTGATGTTGATATTTATGTCTTAACGGGCCTAGCGGGAAAACACAAGGAAAGCCAGAGACATACCCAAAAGACAGACCCAACGGAACACCGATTCCTACAAAAAGACAGGCCCAAGAAGTCTGTCCAGAAGACACCGAGCCACGAAGCTTTCAGGAGATCGGGGCTGGGAGTTCAGGTGCCTCTTGCTGCGATAGGAATGTGGGAATGAACCTGGGGTCCTCTTTGAAGGAAACCCATCAGTTGGATGGTTTCTCTTGGGGTCATTCCATTTCTCATTCTCTGCTGAGCACCAAGTCTTGATTCGGTGCAGTCAGAACCGCCCACCTCTTAAGGTGCTTAGATGGTCTGGGAGTTGAATCGCTCAATGGCGAGCTTGGCCCTGGTTGTAGCCCAGTTATACCGGTTGTAAGTCCAACCTGCAACCAGGGGTTACTCGCCATTTGGCGATTCGTCCCAGAGCATCGGAGTACCTGTGCTAAGGCGGCAGTTGCCAAATTGCAAAATGTCGCTCCCAGTTGTTTGATCGGCGAGACGTATCGACGTCTCGCCGATCAAAGGTGACCTGGGATCCCAAGCAGCCGTCAAGAAATTGTTCATTCGCACACCCCGTTGGACAATTAATGTTGACCCCATACTAATCAACCCCAGTACATCAATAGGGGGGGTGTAACTGCGTCCAGTGGGGGAATCAACACTTTTGGAGGGGAACACCCCCCTGCTAATCATGCATAATACTCTCACCTGTGAAAGTCGTTGCGTTTGGTTTTGGCAGCATGTTTTTCGTGTAATACGCACACGAAACGCATCCGGTAGGGTCGTTGCAACTCCGTGTGCCACTGGCGTTTGGTTTAGCATGTTTTCAAGAGACAATTGCTGCGTGATATTGAGGTCTTTTTTGTAGAGAAATACATGCTGAACGTGGTCCCCTGAGATGGTTTCATTGATCAAGTTGAGGTCTTTTGGGTAGGCCGAACGCACTGGCACACATGGAAAACACCTTCCCTCGATCGCGGTTTGTGTTGGTGATGTTGAGGCATTTTGGGTGGCCAATCGCATTGGCACACGCCTGAAAAAAACACTTACTGGGTCCTTGTGGTTACACGCCCCGCAAGCCATGATCTCGCGCCGCAAGCAGTGTGCCAGTGGGGAAAGCTATTTAGGGTCATGATCATTCTGTCTTTTATGATGTGTGGCATGAAGCCATTTTGAATCAAATCGCATGGGTACACTCGTTTCACTTAGATGTTGCTGACGATGCAAGTGCTACCCCAGCCCCCCACCGTACACAAAGCCAAGTGTCTGGTGTGCCATGGGGGACCGGATACTTTGAGGAGTGTTTGGTGAAGGGGCGCTGTTGCACGTTGAGGCCCACTCCCGTCACAAAACGCAATGGCACACTGCCTCCGGCCAAGATAATGAGAAGATTCAGTCAACTAACACATGGGAGTCTGGTTCCTTGTGTTGTTCAGCTGTGTGCCAGTAGGATTCGAGGTGATAGAAGTTGCAGGCTTAGATGTTGCTGGCGACGCAAGTGCTACCCCAGCCCCCCACTGTACACAAAGCCAAGTGTCTGGTGTGCCATGGGGGGCCGGATACTTTGAGGAGTGTTTGGCGAAGGTGCGCTGTTGAATGTTGAGGCCCACTCCCATCACAAAACGCAATGGCACACTGCCCCTGGCCAAGATAATGAGAAGGTTCAGTCAACTAACACATGAATCGCGTTGGCACACGCAATCATCCTCAACAAGATTCCTAGAACAGCTCGCGTTGTTGAAGCTGGGGCTTTGGAAGGCCAAGCGCGTTGGCACACGCAATCATCCTCAACAAGATTCCTAGAACAGCTTGCGTTGTTGAAGCTGGGGCTTTGGGAGGCCAAGCGCGTTGGCACACGCAATCATCCTCAACAAGATTCCTAGAACAGCTTGCGTTGTTGAAGCCGGGGCTTAGGGTGGCCAATCGCACTGGCGCACGCAATCATCCTCAACAAGATTCCTAGAACAGCTTGCGTTGTTGAAGCTGGGGCTTTGTGAGGCCATTCGCATTGGCACACGCAATCATCCTCAACAAGATTCCTAGAACAGCTCGCGTTGTTGAAGCTGGGGCTTTGGAAGGCCAAGCGCGTTCGCACACGCAGTCATCCGCAACAAGATTCCTAGAACAGCTTGCATTGTTGAAGCTGGGGCTTTGGGAGGCCAATCGCATTGGCACACGCTTGAAAAACACGTATCTTCAACAAGTGCTTGTAATACGTATTAGGCTAAGGCCGACAGTCTGCTTAACACATCAATTGGTTTCAACGGCCTGCTTTTCAGGCTGAGGCCTAGGTGGGTTGCGGCTGCACGTTTTCTTTCTTTTCGGACTCGTTTTAGACTCGTTTTTGGACTCGTTTTTTTCCTGGGTAAACTTGCCAAAACTTAACACAAGGCACCTCCTACTACTGCTACTACTACTACTACTACCACCACGACTACTACTACTACTACTACTACTACTGCTTCTGCTACTACTACTACTACTACTACTACTACTACTACTACTACTACTACTACTACTACTACTACTACTACTACTACTACACTACTACTACTACTGCTACTGCTACTGCTACTGCTACTACTACTACTACTACTACTCCTGCTGCTGCTGCTGCTACTACTACTACTACTATTACTACTACTACTACTCTGCTGCTGCTGCTGCTGCTGCTTGTGCGACTACTACTACTACTACTACTACTACTACTACTACTACTACTACTACTACTACTACTACTACTACTACTACTACTACTACTACTACATATGGGGATATGCGATGTGCCATGGGGATTGCCTTCTTATTGGCGAGCAAACACACATAGTCAAGCAACTCGGTCCCAACTGGTATGCGATGGGCCATGCTGGTTGCCTTCTTACTCATGCTTAGACATGTGTGCTTAAAATGCGTTTAAGCGCCTTGTAATATGCGATGTGCCATGGGGATTGCGTCTGTAGTGGCACTCAAACAAAGCAGTTTTAGGAGACACGTTGCGGTTGATTATGCAATGTGCCATGGGGGTTGCCTTCATTTTTGTGCTTCGAAAAGATGTTTTCGAGATGTGTTCATGTGCCATGGGGATTGCCTTCGTACTAGCACACGAACTTGTTTTTGCAAGACTTGTTTCGATGTTGTTGAGCATGCGATGAGCCATGGGGATTGCCTTCTTTTTGGCGTGCAAACACACATAGTCAAGCAACATTTCGGTCCCAACTGGTATGCAATGTGCCATGGGGATTGCCTTCTTACTCGTACTTAAACATGTATGCTTAAAATGCGTCTAAGTGCCTTGTAACATGCGATGTGCCACAGAGATTGCGTCCGTAGTTGTACTCAAACAAAGCAGTTTTAGGAGATCGCGGTTGATGATGCAATGTGCCATGGGGGTTGCCTTCATTTGTGTGCTTCGGAAAGATGTTTTCAAGATGCATCTGGTTGCCTTTGGGTATGCGTGTGCCATGGGGCTTGCCTTCGTACTAGCGCATGAACTTGTTTTCGCAAGAATTGTTTCGATGTTGTTGAGCATGCGATGCGCCATGGGGATTGCCTTCTTTTTGGCGAGCAAACATACATAGTTAAGCGACATTTCGGTCCCAACTGGCATGTGATGTGCCATGCTGGTTGCCTTCTTACACGTATGCTTAAATGCGCTGAAGTGCCTTGCAATATGCGATGTGCCATGGGGATCACGTCCGTAGCGGCGCTCAGACAAAACAGTTTTAGGAGACACATTGCGGTTGATTATGCAATGTGCCATGGGGGTTGCCTTCATTTTTGTGCTTCGAAAAGATGTCTTTGAGATGTGTTTGGTTGCCTTTGGGTATGCATGTGCCATGGGAATTGCCTTCGTACTAGCACACGAACTTGTTTTTGCAAGACTTGTTTCGATGTTGTTGAGCATGCGATGTGCCATGGGGATTGCCTTCTTTTTGGCGTGCAAACACACATAGTCAAGCAACATCTTGGTCCCAACTGGTATGCAATGTGCCATGGGGATTGCCTTCTTACTCGTACTTAAACATGTATGCTTAAAATGCGTCTAAGTGCCTTGTAACATGCGATGTGCCACGGGGATTGCGTCCGTAGTGGTGCTCAAACAAAGCAGTTTCAGGAGACACTTGGGCGCCGTGTGCCAGTGGGGAAGGCTCAGTTGCAAGGACTCTGCCGGGACTACTCGTTGCGTTGTTTTTACTGGCAGGCTGCGGACTTTCAAGAAAAACACGAAAATGCAAGGACTTTCGCGTTTGGGTGTACGGGGTCAACGTTAAACCCCTTACGTACGCTGTGGACCCCTGTGCCGCAAGGGCGCATATGATGCCGCAAGATACGGATCTCGTTGCAATGCTTAGCAGCCTTGCTTAGATGGTCTGGGAGTTAACTAAATGGCCAGTAACCCTGGTTGTAACTCACTTACAATGGTTGTACGTCCCCCCGTAACCAGGGCTACTAGCCATTTAGCTAAGTTCCAGACCATCTAAGTAGGTCTTTTTCTTTGAGGTACCCTTTTCACCCTGCCTTACAGGAACCCCGAATCAAAGCACTGGCCATTTTGACGCAGACACCGACATGGGTTGCTGCGGCAGAAAAAGCTCGCAGAACGAGGATTCGGCGGTTTGCGGCAGAACTCAAATCGAGGCTTCGTGGGTTTTTCGCATCTCAGGCCAGACTTCCGGCGCACCGGGGCGCTCTTCTGGCCGGACTTCTCGCCCTTCGAGGCGTCGGGACGAGATGGCGCGGAGGTATATTTGGTTTTGAGGCCACAGTCCCTATATTTCCTCACTGGTTTGTTGCCCATTTAAAGTGAGCTTCCTTTGAGTGGGGTGACGTTTAAGGGGGAAATATAGGGAGCCACAATACAGGTGAAGGTTAGGGGGCAAGTCCCAACCAGACATCCGCCCGATTGATTGTTTGACGTTGGGTGACCCCTTTTAATAGCTTCCATTTTCTTAAGATAAAATGTGTTATTTTCCCTTGTTGGTTTTACAGGGAATCTATCACCACTGGACATATAAGCGGGCTTCAGCAAATGGAAAACCAGAGATTCATTGTGACTCAAGCATCGTCGGTTTCCAGATTTAAGAGCTAGGATTTTTTCCGGGAGTGCTTCCGCAGCAGTTAAGATTCCTCTCTACAAAGGGGCAGCCGCTCACTTGTGGCCCGAAGGGTTGGTTGGACCTTCCCAAACACTTGGAACCAGGTGGCTGTTGTCCACAAGCAAACAGCTACGACGTCCTTTGTCTTTTTGCTCGGTTAGTTTGAGTAGAAATAGGTTGGCCAAGCCATTGGTTTAGACGGGTTTTATGCCATCCATACCCCAGAAAAACCCATCTACTTTATGAAACGGACAACTATGGCTGCGGCCCGATCGTGAATGTTATCATTGATTGCAAGCGAGATGTGTTGGTGATCTGTTATAGAGCTTTTCCGTTTGGACCCCCCAAGCACACCTCCAAAAGTGGTCCGTTTTAGCCTTTTCCAAGATGGTGCGTATTGGCGCTTCTTCTTTTTTTGGGGGGGGGAGGGATGGGGATGTGGGGGGGGGGGGGGAGATAGCTTATGACATAATCTTTCGGTTTTTGAGAGGTGGGGCTGTCAAACAATATGTTGGGATAAACCCGGTTTGACTGCTTTCGTCGATTCGAATCCGCCCTATGGGTGTGTGTGTGTGTGTGTTTTAGGGGACCCCATTTTCCTTTTGGTTTCCGTTTAAAGCAACCTTTTAAAGGGTCCCCTAAAAAAGACACGCCCGTATCCATGTCCCAAAGGAATGCGGCGCCCACTTGGTTGCTACTCTTGCGATTAGACACATATTTCTACCCCTCGTGACCATAATGCAGTTATTAGTGGGTAACTCCGGTGGCTAACCACTTACTAACTTGGCGATACGAACATCCAAGTAGAGACAGACACCTTTGGGTAGGCCGTTTCAATACCAGGTTTGGATTTGTTGATTGTTTGTTCCATTTAACACATATGCGGATCGCAATTCCTCCCCCCTCAAACACAAGCAAGGGGGGGAAGCAAAACAAACATGGACCAACATGTCCTGGGCTTAAGCCTCGGGGAATTTACTGGAAATCCGAGAGAACAACACGAACGCATGGCAATTTCTGGCATCAGGTTGATTGACCCATGGTCTCGTTGCATCCTTGAAAGCCAGGAGAAGGAGCCACATCAATGGCACGCCTTGAGCAGGGCCCCCAGAGCCAACCCCCCTGTCAAGTGGTCAAGCATGGGGGGGTCATGGAAAAACGAGTGGACTACTAGGTGTCCCAGTAGGCTCTTTCTCACCCCTGTTTTGGGGGGAGGGTTCCCCTATTAAAAAAGACTACGAAAAAGATTGGCTACCCTTATTCTAACCTTTCTACTGGAGGACCTAGACTATGTCACAAGGCCAAATGTTCGACAATGGCGGCATGTGGTCAAAAGGGACAGCAAAAGATGTAGCTACTCAGCTACTCGTACATCTTGACCGGTCACTCAGTGGAAGTTGGCTTAAGATGTGGCACGTTCAAGCGGTGTTGCGACATGGGAATTCCTGCAGATGCCAAAAAGGTCTTCGAAGAGGAGCTTCCTCTGAAACCGCTGAGTCGTTCTTCTATTGGCTGAAAAAATAACGTCTCTCTCTCTCTCTCTCTTTTGTTTTCTCTCTCTCTTTTTCCTCTCTCTCTCTCTTTTTTCTTCTCTCTGTCTCTCTCTTGTTCTCTTTTTCTCTTGTTCTCTTGTTCTCTTTTTCTCTTGTTCTCTTTTTCCCTTTTTCTCTTTTTATATTTTTCTCTTTTTCTCTTTTTCTTTCTTTCTTTCTTTCTTTCTTCCTTCCTTCCTTCCTTCCTTCCTTCCTTCCTTCCTTCTTTCCTTCCTTCCTTCCTTCCTTCCTTCCTTCCTTCCTTCCTTCCTTCCTCGTCACTACCAACAGTCGCCACACTCCTGCCGAAAAATACGGAACCCAGAAACCTCCATTTGCTTCAGCCCTGGGAAAAATAATTCCGAGAATATGTCCAATAGTGAAATCGATCCCCTTTGACACCAACAAAGGAAAACAAAATAACAATGATAATAATAATATTATTAAGCAACAATATAATGATATTAAACTCGCCCTTTGGTTTTGCCGTCGTCGAGTTGGTCTCCTACTACTGAACAAATGCGTGGCATGGCTCATGGTTGGTCAAGGGCATGAACTTGCAGCAACCTCGTGCCTCCAGTTTTAGGTTATTGCTTTCTCACTTCCTGAGTTCATGGACTATATGTTTTTGGGGAAGACCATTCTAGGGGCATCTCTTGCAAATCAGGGGGGGGGCGGTTCGGTCCAGTTGCCCGGCGGCACTCTTTTTTCAACTTGGTATAAGGAAGGGTTCCCCTTTAAACTCAACCAACACGGCGAAGTTTCCGAAGATCGTCTCCTTCTAGAAGCTTATGAAATGGGCGTGTGTCTTTCTGGAGCGTATCGTTTTTCTTGTTTTTTGTGGCTTCATCAACACCTGGGCAATTTGAGTATGGACAACTCCTCAGCTTTCGATTGAGACTCAAGCAAGAGTCTGGGGGCATCCAACCATGGGATGTGTCACATGTTTGGGCCCCCAACAGATCAGCTCATGCGGCACATGCGAGGCAGTCAGATGTCAGACCCGATGTGTGTGTTTTCCTTTTGGCGCCCTTTACACCAGAACCCCTAAAAGGGTAGGTGCCCCTGAAACAATCGCAGCCCCACTTGGAGGAGCGTGTTTTCGAGTCTTTAAGAGATGCTCCTAGGCTGAAGTGTCGAAAATATGGTTGCCCGTGGGCGTTTTGTTTTGATCTCGGCCCTCTACTTTTGAGAGAGTAGCATATTTTGACCACTGGTGCTGGCGTTCAAAGTGCGATGCATTTTGATTTACATCGAGAACAGCACATCAATGCCAGTACATGATGTCCACGTCCGCACTCAACATCGCGCCCAATGGGGTCGGTCCAAACTGGTGGTGTTCCTCTTGTTTTCCCTTCACCCCCCCCCCCCAACAAAAAACAGAAGAAGGAACAACCACACGGGGTACTCCCAAAAAAGACAGACCCACATCCAACTTTCGGCCAGAATACGCGAGGCGAACCACAGAAGGCGTCAAATGGTAGCTTGCCACGTGGGCCATGTAGGTCCGCCAGTAGTGCCCTTTTACCCTTTTTTTGGGGAGGGTTCCCCTACTAAAATAGACGACAGAAAAAGGGTACCCTTATTCTATAACCTCTCTACTGGAGGACCTAGTAGATGTTTTTGGTTGGTTTCGGGGGTTGGGTGTCCATACCCACAAGCGAGTCACTTTTAGCCATCAGAAAAACGGCAGTAGGTAAGCAGCAATCCCCAATAAAGGAACACTACCCTTTGGATTTCTCCCAACCGCTGAAATGGGTCTTGGGCCCGGTTTGGGTAGCTTTCAGGGGTTCCAAAGACTCGGTTCTAGGTTTTAGGTTCCTTTGGTGATGGGTTGCATTCTGTTAGAGACATCATTTTTTAGCTTGGTTCCAAATACCTGGCGCTGCTTTAGATGGCTCAGTTGCCCAAACCCGACCTTTTAACCTTTTGGTTTTCCTAGTTTGGTCTATTAGTAAAGTTCCAAAAAGGTTATATAACTTTTTGTTTCTGGGTCCAAACTGGGCAACTGAGATGGGGTTCATTCCATGCCCCCAGGGCCATTTGTTTTTCCCAAAAGGCTCCTAAGCCTGAGATTTGACCGCGCGGTTTCGATATCTTTTCCGAGGCGGCGGTCGTTGGCAGCGGCGCCCGAAGCAGTTGAGGCCTTTCGCAAGCCAGAAGAAAGTGTTAAACACTTTTCTGGGAAGACTTCTTTTTGTGATGCAAAAACAATTGGTTATTTTCTTTTGGCCAATCCACTCGATCGGAAGTGAGTTATGCCAAGGTAGGGCTGCGCAAACACACCCAAGCTTCCTTAGCGCACTGGAGCAAAATGGTTTCCTTTGGTGTTCCTTTGAGTTTCAAGAAAGAGGGGCGGACAAAGACATGGGGGCTCGTAGTGTCGCATGGCCTATCAGATTTGTTTTTGGTTGCCGCGAACCGAATTTCTTTTCAACCGGCAGACATTTGGGGTGCGAAAAGAAGAAAACAATGTGGAGACGCTGAGGTGTTGGCAATGGGACTCAACTTGCCGTGGACATGGCAAACTTTGGCTTTGCTTTACGCTAAGGGCACTTGATTGGGCCTTTGATTTTCCGACTTCGCCACGCCCTTGCCCTTGGAGATTCTGAACTCGCAATGCCTTTTAGGGCAACCAATTTGTGAAGAGAAGCGCCTGCCGCCAGCATCTTTGTATATTGATTAACGGCTACCTTAGCCCCTTGTCAGGTTTTTGGGCGGATACCTGGCATTGCTTTCACGCCCTTGTTGGCTTTGGCTGGACAGAGGAACGGCTCATCAACATGTTAGTACTTCGAGCGAATGAGCAACTCGTTGGTGGAAAAAGGTTCTTCGGAAGACATGCTTGAGGCACATCACTTCTTTTGGGACTGATGTGGACCCCTTGCCAAACAGCTACATCTTGGATGTCTCTCTGTGGATCCAGGAATGGCCTTTTTATCAACATCGCTTGTTCACAGGAGCTGCAGGCTTTTGCTTCTGAAATGGGGCCAGCGGTTGCACTCGACTCCATGTTGCCGTCCCATGCAAAACAGGACCCCGCCAAATCGGAACGATGTCACGCTGGTGTCCCTTTGGCTCGAGCAAAGGGCCCACTGACAAAACAACGAAATTGTCCGCTTCTGCTTTCCTATTGCCTCATGCCTGTGGGAAACTTTCTGTGATACCAAGGAAACATATGACAAAATAGTAAGGATGGCCCGCATTGACTGAATGATCCACAACCATGTATAGACTTGTGTTAATCGACATGTTGAACTTTGAATGTGAAATGAGCTAGATAGCTAACTAAACAAGACTGGTGAGGCTAACTAGCTACCGAGTAAAACCAGCCAACTTGTGAGCTTTTGAATGCGAAAGGGTCAAGAAACAATCAAATGAAGGCCATCCGTTGACAAACCAGTTGATCTGGTGGTTTGGGTGTGTCTGCTTTTAGGGGACAACCCCCAAAAAAACAATAACAGAAATACATCGTGGTTTTCCTCTTGGTTTCCCTTTGAACCCCCCCAAACAAACGGGGTACCATCAAACAAAGACAGACCCAGTTGGTGCTTCCTTCTCAAGAATGCCTGGCGAAGCAATGGATAAACGAGCTGCAACAAGAGTCGTTTGCACAGAGCTTGTCCCTCTGGCAAGACTTAACAATGGGGTTGCGACATCCACTTTCAGCTATACCTGTCGTGCCCATAGGTGTTCTTTTGATCGGTTAGTTTGATTAGAACTAGATGGGCTCCACAGGTTCAGTTTGGTTTTATGCCATCCATTTCCCAGGAAAGCTCATCTAGACACCTCTGTTTTTTTTTTTTTTTTTTTTTTAATGAACAATATATTTAATTGTCACTATCCGAACATTCTTCTCTTCCATATCTGAATCATTTGCTTGTGGAATCACCTAGGGTACCTTGATTTCCCAACAGCCGGCGTCCACCGAAAAAATATAATAACAAATAAACAAATACACGGTTGGTTGGCACCTTCGGCGCGGCTCTGGAGTTTGCTCGGCAGGTGGGAGCAAGAGAGCGGCCAGCTGCCGAGGGCCAAGAGAGAATTTGCCGGCGGGCGGCAAATTTTTCTGAGGCCCCCCGAACCGGTTGGCTTCCTTTGGGTTGCCTCTCAAACCCATCAAAACTGGAAACCTGGAAGCCTGTTGGTTGTCAGCTTCTGTTGGTTGTTAGATTCCTTTTGGTGTCCTTCCAAAGATCAAAAAGGGGGGTTTCCTTAGGAGGCAGGCTTTAAGCGGTGAGCTTCCCTTTGGTTTCCTGTCCTTTGTTCAGCCTTTGGTTTCCTTTCAAACCCATCAAATCAAATCGTCGATGAGAAGCTGGCGAAGCAAATTTCCGCTGCACACCAAGCCACGGAAGACTTGAACCTCGCAGTTCCGCTGCTGAAAAATGCCCGTCTGGCTCTGTGTGGCTGGCACTGCTAGTCTTTAGACTTTGGTGCATTTTGCCAAGGGATGTTGGAACTGAACAACTTTTTGCCAACGAATGGGTTTTCCTTATCAAACCACTATATAAAGTTAGTCACTTTTAGCAGGGGAGCAGAAGGCAACCGAGTAATTTTAAATCCGAATCAAAGCTTGGCGGGTCCCAGCTGCTTCCTAAGTTGGTTTTAGTTGGTTTGGTGGGGTTTTCCATGTAACCCACAAGTTCCATGAGTTAAACTTTTAGCAGAAAATGTGAGGACAGCCCAGAAAGGAAATCATGGACTCAGCTGTTTCTTTTTTCTTTTTTTCTTTCGAGCGATAGCGAACTTAGTTGGGGGGTTGGGTTTGCTCTTTTGACCCCCCCCGGGTGGGTTTACAACGCACATGAGACAAGCGTCCTGCGTTGGGGTCGTTTTTGTTTGCAGTTCGCTGGACGGGCGCTTGATGCTTGGTTTGACATACTCGCTAGAGCGATGCCGTGACAAGAATACTAGGTATCTTCCGTGCTTCTTGCTTTCGAATCTGAGAGGTGTTGCCATGTGGTCAATCAGACACAGCGTGTTTCGGCCATCAAGGCCAGAGGGTGCGTGTTAATCTGTACCTCGCCTGCCCTGCTGGTTGTTTGGTTTCCCTTTTCTGCAAAAATGGCTCCCAAGCTCACGAACGGATCAAGGCCTTCGCCGGTTCCATCTCAGAGCTTGTCGAGACAACTTCCAGCTGACTCGTTTTTGTCAGCCTGTTCACGTGTCGAAGGTGCATCGCCTTTTCTTGTTGAGTTGGTTCTTCCTGTCTGGCTTGTTTTTGGGGACGCGCCAATGAGCGGGCTTTATCTATCTTTCCACACAACAGCGAGCGAACGAGCAAACAAAAGGTGTCCATGCAACAGCCAGTTTGCCAGTGACGTGAATTTCTTTTGCAGCTTGCTGTCACAAGCTGACTTTGCAAATGACTGGAATCTGAAACACACATTTTTCACAGTGACAATTATTGGGCTCTCCTTTCGGACATTGTCCTTTGGATGTCACTGAGGACATCGACCAACCGGGGTCTGTCCACTTTGGGGCGGTCAACTAAATTGGTTCTTCCCAATGCAAGAAGCAACTTTGGGGAAAGTCCCTTGTGACGCTGGTTCAGATTTTTATGTTCATGTCAAGGCTCATGTGATTGGTTCCTTTGATTCCGGGTGGGGCAGCCTGCCGTCCACGCAAAAGGCACTGGTATCAGAGATTCCGCGCTGAAATGTTCTTGTGGAGCAATGGACATTGGCACCTGAAGGGAGGGTGTTTTTTTGGTATGTCCACAACTTCAAATTTGCTAGCACCCAAAGCTACCGTTGAACGGTTTTGAGCATTCCACTTGTCGATGTTGGGGTCAGGGCTTTTTGATAGGTTTCTCGAGCCCAACGATTTGGTTGTTGGATTCAGGTTTTGAAAGAACCATGGGCAGATGAGAAATCGGAATTGTCGCTTGAGTCAACTTGAGCAGCGCCGAAAAACCCTTGTGAAGGGAGTCAACTGAGGGCCTCTCCTGACGAAGCCTCGCGAAAGCTAAAACGCAAGGCGCGAAAGCCCGCGACAGCTCCATGTTTGCAGTTTCTGGTCTCTGTGTTTGCACGCTTGTGTTAGGCGTTGAGTTAAATGCAAGCGGCGCCCGCGAAAGCGAAAGTCATCGTCACAACGCACACGCCCGCGGAAGTGCAAGTCGTGTGGCCGTCAGAAGCATCGCGAACAGCTCCGCGAAAGCGGTTTGCTAGTGATTTCGGCTCCGCTCACTTGGCCATCCGTTGAAACGGGGCAGGTCTGAGATCGGCTTCCTTGCGGGGGGCGCTTTGGATTTCTCCCCAAATTTGTAGACCTGGACCCTAAGAAACTACCCGTAAAAAGGGATTTCACCCCATAACCTTGGGGCAATAACCTATGTTTAAGTTAGGAATTTGAGGGCTCAGGGAGCCCCCCCCCCCCCCCCCGCCCCAAAATAGACCTCCTCTCGGAACCCATCCCAAGCGATGCCCACGCTCATGGCAACGCACCTCAGGCTGGTGGACAAGAGCCGATGTCTCCGCGGACTTTGGCGGGTGGCTTGGCGAGCGAAAGCTAAACCCCAGAGGAAGGGGCGTGACCCCTGGGTCTAGCGGGGAATCATGTCACCACTTTTGGAGGGGAACATTCCCCAAATTCATAAGGGGTCAACCATTTCAGTGATATAAGGGTCAACCCATTAATGAGGGTCACTTCTTTATAAGGTTGATTAATACGGGGTCAACAATTTCAGCTTTGGGGCGGGTTGGAAGGTGATTTTCAGCATTTGGGTGTGGGCGATTTCCTTTAAAAGGAATCGGACCGGACCAGAATGGCGCAAGGGTGGCCTGTTTGGCTTCCCCTGAAAACCGAGCAAGAATGGGGTGCCCTCAACAAAAGGCGCACCCACTTTGAAGAATGAAGGCTAGAACTAGCCACCCAGTGGATGGATTGAACGGCAAGGGCGCTTTGACTCAGAGATTAGGGACCCGATTGGAGGTTTTATCAGAAGCAGCGAGGTTTTTCCCTGATTTGAAGAAGCACCCATGGGCAGGAGCACCCATGTGCGGGATAGATGCTTGGATTTGGCGCTGGTGTATATTCACCGATCAGGGTAGTGTGCATCTTTGTCTTTTTTGGATTGTATGCATCTTGCCGAGCTTGCCTGCAGTCCACAGAATGATGGTACTCGTCAATTTCCTCCAGGAGATCTCCCGTAGTGGTGTTCTTCTTGGATTCCAAATGCTGCAGTTCTTGCAGAAATCGCTTTTTGTTTGGGGTATGGCTCCACAGCAAAACATGACTAAGAACAGAGACCCAAAGCCAGCCAACGCGTACTGTTCATCAGAACGGGTGTTGATTCTTGAGGGGCCCAGAAGGAACTCATCAACGTTGGTTTCATTTTGAGCCAACCCCATACCCAATACGTGTGTATAAACCTTCATCCCAGCAGCTTCTTGCTGGTGCGATAGGCAGGGAATGAGACATGGTATTTCCGAGATACAAACCATCCGAGTGCTGGTGTCCTTTCGGGAATCCCAGCAAAACCGGTTCATTCAGGGTTGTGGGATCACTCGGGGTTTTTCCCCACTTCTGTGATACAAGTTAGAATCTCCCCCTTATGGGGGGGGTTAGTCTTTGGGAAGCCCTTTTTGTTGTATCACAGAAGTGGATTCCATTCCCCACAGCCCTGGGTTCATTCCATTTCACGTTCCCCGAGTTTCGCACCGATCGCCTTCGTCTGGGCTCGACCAATCCGCATCGGAGGCAGCGTCCATGGCCCTGCGTCTGGGGTGTGAGCCTCGGAGTCGGACGGAGTTTTGAGCACGGATCGGGGTCGTGGATCAAAGTTTTCCGTTCGCATCGGGCCCCCGGTTTTGACACCACGGGTAGCTTTCCCCAGGTGGTGAAAGTCATCGTTTGTCGTGTTTTTCGTGATGGTAAAGGACCTTTTGATCATCAACCCCCAGTATGGGTTTCGGGGCACACTAAATTTAGTCAGCGCAGCGTTGGAGTAAGATATGAGGAAGTATTCAGGCCTTCAGGTGGTTCTACCTGGCTTCGTCCTGGTAGCACGGGCAATATGAACCCTTAGAAGCATATTGCTAGAGACAAACATCGCACAGACTGCAGACAAAGCCTCTCACATGACTAATCATTGTGCAATGTGAGAGGACCAAACATGCCAACAGCTGACAGCTTTGCTTGGTTTGACTTTCTCACTTCGATCTTGAGGGCAAGGAACAGCCCAGAAGACCAAGCCCAGAGCAAGTGGATGGTCGTGAGCATGTGATCCAACATATTACATCCGACGACTTGAAGCTGAAGAAAGCCGAGCGTCCGCGAGATTGAGGAGCAGATTCCTCTGCAGCTATCTAGAATCTTGCTTCCAGAGGGTGAACGACGCTCTGATTTTCCATGAATGTGGATGTCTTGTGATAACTGCGACGACGACAAGCGTTTTGACCCCCCCCCTCCCGCCCCGCTGGGTTTTTTTGGAATGCAAAAGGAAGCCAACCTTTTCTTGACCTTTTCCCAGTAGTTTCCTTGCCAGCAGTGGTCATTGACTCCGTTCCTGAGTTCCTGGATTTTGTTTATTTTCGGTTTGGACCATTTTCGCGGTCAACGACAAGTTTGGACTTGTTTTGTCCCATCCACTCGATCGCAGGTGAGTTTAAAAAACCAACCATTCGGAGCTCGTACCTTTCTTTGGCGGCGTGCGCTTGCCAGGGTTTTGTCGCCCTACCTGCCGGGCGACGGCGGAGACAAGGCTGGGCTCGCCGAGCTGTTCGAAGAAAAATATTTTGCGCCGGAAGGTGGCAGCCCGCTTTTGGTTGGTGGTTCTCTGCCTTCCGGTTCCTTTGCTTTCTAGCTGTGCTGGTTTTACTAGGTCCTCCAGTAGTGCCCTTTTACCGTTTCTTTTTTGGGGGAGGGTTCCTCTACCAAAATAGACTGCCGAGAAAAGTTGGTACCCTTATTCTAACCTCGCTACTGGAGGACCTAGTTTAGTTGGTTTAGTGGTTGGGTTTCCGAACTTATCCTACGAAAGGTAAGACTTTTAGCAGGGGAATCTGGGGACAGCCCGGTTTTGTTGAGCTTTTGGGGGAAGGTGACGAGGTTTCCTTCCCGACTTGGATGTTCGATTCGCCAAGTTAGAAGGTGGTTAGCCACCTGGGTTATAGCCCACTAACTGGGTTAACCCCTCTTAAGGAGGCTTACAAGTGCAATAGTACCCAGCTTACTGACAACTTGCTAACTAGTTGACTAGTTGGTTGCATAGAAATTCCTTTTGATCGAGTTTGGATAGGAATAGATGGGTTCCACTGGCTGAGATTGGTCTTACTCCATCCTTTTGGCCATCTATTTTACCCAAAGGAGACCTGTGGATGGACGAACTCCACCTGAGCCACAATCAAAACCTGGGTAGATGAAGGTTAGTAAGGGCCACTCCCAACTGCGGCCGCCTTCTTAATCCTGTACTTGGTTCTGGGTAGACCATTTAAATACCAGGTTTTGATTGTGACTCACCTGGAGAGATTCCCCTTGCCACGGGTCCCAAGTTTCCGATCCAATTCCCCAACGCAAATACCAACAGAGCTTATGTGTTCAACCATGGTTTCATGACCCCGCGGTGTCTCGGATCTCGCAACCATCCACAGCATGATCCAGAAAAAAAACAAAGAATGCTAAATACATTCCTGCCCAGATGCCCCTGCTTGTTTTGCAGGGACGTCGGAGGGTTTTCTCGAACCCCCCAAAAGCCATCCTCATGAGGTACCAAGGGACCCTTTGCGGAGTGGTCACCTCGAACGTTGGGCTGGCAGGACCTCTTCCAGATCGCCTGGACGCTAGAGGAGCTGAGCTTCGCTATGTGCCTTGGGCTAGGTGCCCCCCAGCGAATGGGGCCCCTAGTTGGGCACCTATTTCTGACCCACGGCCAACTTTCAAGGGTGGGACATAGTTTTTGTCTTTTCCCCTGCTGCCTGCCCAGTGGGCGGTTTCGGTGGTGGTGGTGTTGTAGTTGGCTAGGTCCCCCAGCGAATGGTGCCCTTTTACCGTCCCTTTTTTGGGTTGGGAGGGTTCCCCTACAAAAATAGGAAAAAAAAGAAAGAAGAAACGGTACCCTGATTTTAACCTCCCTACTGGAGGACCTAGTTGGGTTGATGTCCGGTTCCAGTTAAAGCCTTGGTGGTGTCCAGCCATTCTTTGAGTTGTGTTTTTTTTGGGGGGAGGGAGTGGGGGTTCTCTTTAAAAGTCAAGCTTTTAGCAGGGGATTAGAAAACGGACAGGGGGGTTCTATTGAAAAGTTAAACTTTTGGCAGATCTGAGGGCAGCCCAGAAACGTGTTTGGGATTTTTTGCCACCCTCATAGGCTTCATGGGCAGGGGGCGGGGGGGGCTGATTCGGAGAAGAAAGCCATCAAGGGCATTCAGCCTTGGACACCCGCTGTCTTTTAACGAAGCAGCAATACCTGGCAGATAGGTTGGGTTCCGGCAACCAGGTCTCACTGGCATCATGTCTTTGCATCGTGAGCTTATGAAAGCTATCTTGCGCACCACTGGAGACTGCCTGATGCCAAACACGGACAGGGAACAACAACTCTGGATCTTCTTGGACCTTTTAGTGAGATTGCAGGGAAGAATGTCCTGCAGGCATATGCAGGATATGTTTCAGGCAACCGGTTCAATCTGGGGCGCCTGCAGACGGGGTGTTTGGGCGGTGTCCTTGCTTTGGAAAAACCCAATGTTTGGTTGCCAGATTCCTTGTTTATGGAGTTAGATTGATTCGGCTGGTTCACTGAGACGAGATGCCAAGGGGCAAGAGAGCGATTTCGCGCGATAGCCGGCATGACCGCTTTCCCCTTGGATCAGCGAAGCTGGAAAAGAGTTCCAAGACTTTCAATCACCCTGCAAGTGGGGGGGCCCTCAAACCTGTTGATCCTGAACTTACCTTTCCCTGCGCCCCTTAAGGCGAATCATTCCTGATCATTCGAATCCCTCCCCTCCAAATTCAGATGGCTTCTCGACGATCCATCCATCTGATTACAACCCAACCACGTCTCGCGACGCAATGGGCCGATTCCTTCTTTTCTGCCGAAATTAGCCGGAGGGGAATAAAGGCTGGACAAAGGGATCGGCCCTTTGAAAGTCCAGGCACCCGGAGTTCCCCGAGGAAAAAGAAAAATCGGTCCACACAAGCACAAAGAATGGCCTCGAGTGCTTGTCCCGCCCCCCCCCCTGCCCCCCCCCCCCATAAAGGAGCTGGGGAATTTTTGGTGTTCTCTTCTCCTTGTCCCGCGCAAAACTTGCTGGTGCGATAGGTAGGGAATGAGAAATGGAATGAACCTGAAGATTCCCGAATCAAGGAAACCACCACCAGTTGGATGGTTTATCTCGGGGTCATTGCATTCCTCATTCCCTGCCTATCGCACCAGCAAGTAAAAGAATGGCCCAAGAAAAAGACCGCAATCCTGCAGGGTAAACACCGGGTCTGTCTTTTGTTTGCGGGACTCGGACCGGGACCAAAAAAAAAACACCGATCCGCTCGAAGGTCCACCTCGGAAAGCGCCGACTTTCTAAGTCGCGGGCCGCTTCGAGGTGTCCCTTGCCGGCGGCGGCCGGGGTCTTGGACCCCAGCGCCGGAGTGCCGGGCGGCTTTGTGGGCGCGGGCGCCCAGGGGTTTGGGGCGGGGGGAGGGGTGGGGAGGTTGGGGAGAGGGGGGGAAGACTGAGGTTGACTTTTCCTAGCATGAAAATCATGCGAGGATACCCCTTTTTGGAGGTAGGGCGACCTTTTCGGGGGAAAGCAAAAGGAAAGCCATGTTGGGCGCAACCCAGACCCTTGGTTTTTGGTCTCATGAGCGAACGGTCACTCGGAAGACCAGACCCTTGTTCTGTGCGTGTTTTTCCTGAACTTGGAAGACCAGATCCTTCCATTTTGGAAGAGGGATCAACTGTGCACCGAGCATTTTGGTGGGAGGGTACCTGGTTGTTTCCGGTTGCCTTGGGTGGCGGACCCAGAAGGCAATGACACCAACCTGGTTGGGACATTTGCAGCACGGCCAAAACTGAAATGGGCAGGCAAGATCTCTCCCAGTAGGGGTTTCAGACCTGCTGGTTTGTTGAAGTGGTGCCCGCAGGTTTTTGCTTCCTAAGCTGAAGACTTGAAGATTTGGACGGTTCCCCTGGAAGCATGTATCTAAATGGGCGGCTCGTTTTCTTTGAGTTGGTATCCCATTTTTCGCCATTTTGCAGGGCCCCAGTTTTTGTTTGTTTATATATATATATATATATATATATGTATATTAAAAAAAGAAGAAAAACAACTCAGATGATGTTTGCGGCAAGGCCTCGAGGCCAACTTGTTTCTGGCGGACGAGTTTCTCGATTGGAGTCACTGTACTTGCACGGCCGGGGTCACACTGGCAACAAGCGCTTGCCCCTATTTGGCTGTGGCTCAAAATTAAAGAACTAGGGTTACGCAGGTTTTGGTCGTTGGTTCCACTTAGGTTCCATTTTGGTACCTGTTTTTGAGCCACAGCCATTTCTCTTTGTGGTTCCGAGTGATTCGGTTCCTTAGGCTCAATTGTTGTTTGATTTTTTGTTCACATTTCGCAGGGGATCGAAGGGGAGCAGCCGGTTCTGACATGTGAGGACCCTGCTCGAAACTGGAGAGGTCCCAGCTGTTTAGCCAGACATGTCTTGATCAGTTCTCATCCTGAAAGCAGGCAGCTTCTGACTGAAGGGCAGCCCGGCTCTGCTCAAATCTTGCACTTAGGTGGTCTGGGACTTAGCCAAATGGCTAGCAACCCTGCTTACAGGGGACCTACAATAATTTCCCCCCAGACCATCTAAGTAGGGCTCGGTTTTTTCGTGTTGATGGACCTCACTGTATTTCCCTTCCCTTAGGCCTTGTCTTTCGGTAGGCTTGAGAGGAATTGCCACCGTTTTGTTGGAGAATGTTCGGTGCTTTTCCTTGGACTTGACAAATTCGTTTATATAAACGACCCAATCTTTGGACATGGGGAACCAAAGGGTTGCTTGAAGTGAAGCCTCCCTCAAAGAAAGCCCCGCCTGAAGGGTGGGTTCCAGGCTCACAGTATCTAATCAGAAGAGCCTGTATTTGCTTTATTTGTTTTTGTTCATCTCTTGGTTTTATTTAGTGGGAATTTGTCACCACTGGAAATGTTCTATCACCACTGGACATAGTCTTTTTTTTTCCAGGGGGCGCAAAAGGAAACGGAAGAACACTTCTTTGTTTGGTGCAAAGGTTCTCCAAAAATTCAGCAAACAGGTCTCCCTTTGTGGATCAGATCCGAACAAATTATTCCTGCAAGATGGGAAGAGTGTCCTTTTGCTTTTCCTTTTAAAACCGACCCCCCAAAAGGGTACTTGAACTCGGATCTGCGATTCGCCAAGTTCGCAAGTGGCTAGGCTTGGTTCGGAGTCGCGAATGACTGGTTGTTAATCCCACTAGTGGGAGGCTTAGTGAGTCAGGACCCAGATTTCCGACAGCTTATGCTAGCTTGGCGAATCGAACGTCCAAGTAGCCTGTTTTGGGGATCGGTTTCAAAGCACAACGCAAGGACACCCTTCCCGCTTTTTTTTGTTTCCCCCCTTCTTTTTTTCCGGCTCCGATCCAGCCAGCGAGTTCCTGGACCCTCCATAATATACAAAGGGATTTCACCAACCATCGTTTTGGGGCTACGTCCTTTTTTGAGTTGGACGTTTGAGGGCTGAGTCCTTTTTTTGGTTTTGAATCCTGGAGCAACACCCCCAAGTAGTCTCTCCCCCCCCCCCAAAACCGCCCCAAACCGCCCCGGAGAACGGCACCTCTGGACTTCTCCGGATCAGAATCCCTCGCCGCGCCGAGAGGTCACACCATGGTGCAGCGCTCCTGTGACGGCCGCCCCGCCTTCCTGCACCGCACCATCGACAAGCACGAGGACGGGGACGGGGACGGCTTCGCGGTGTTTCGGATGGGACACTGGGCGTTCACTGGCCCAAAAAGCTGACCTGAGCCCTCAAAATTCCAACTTAAGAATAGGTTACAGGCCCAGAATTATGGTTGGTGTACCGTTTCTCATGAGTAGTTTGAGCCTAGTTTGAGGGTGCCTTTTGGTGTCCCTGATTCTTTCCTTTTTGAGTCAAGGTTCCGAAAGATGAACCTTCTATTTGTGGATCCTTCGGGCAACTGAGTAAAAGGCAAGCCTGTTTGGTACGGAATGTTAAACCATGTTGCTGAAAGGATTAGCGAGCTAATCCCCGCACCTTAACACCTACAAGCAGCTTTAACTTGTGCTTCGTTGGTTGATCTCCAAGCATGGAGCGCAGTATGTGTTTTTGTGTTGTTGTTTCATCCGCAGATTAGCTAAGCTGTACGGAACTTGCCTCAGGGACGCGCATTGGTGAAAATGGGTGCTTCATTTTTTAGGGACCACCCAAAATGGTTGGTTTTCTTTTGGTGTCCCTTTGAATCAAAAAGAAAAGGGTAATGTTGATCCCATATTAATAACCCCGTTTCAGTAGTCGGGGGTGTTCCCCTCCAAAAGTGGTCTGATTCCAACCACATTTCACCCAGAGAAAATCAGCGACCCACTTGTCGTACACTTGTTGGCTGATTGATTAATATGGGGTCAGTATTTTTCCCTTGGTTGGTTTTAAAGGGAATCGATGAATCACTGCTGGACATATTTTCTTTTATCGTTTCCAGGGGGTGACCATCCGCAAATAGAAGCCCAAATAGGTCAGTGCGATGTCCTAGGCTGAAGCTGCACGTTCTGGAAACCCAGTTGCCACTAGTGGATTCCGCCCCTTTGTTCAACTAGTTTTGCGAAGGGTTAACCAAAAAAGGATGCCCTTTCTTCCCACGGCCATTGGGCATCTGAGGAAAGGTTTTCAGAGGTTTCGAGTTGGCAAAAGGTGGTGGGGGTTTCCGTATTGAACCCACTAAACGTTTGGTCCCCTTATGTTTTTTAGTTGTTTTTAATTGGTTTAGTGGTTGGTTCAGTGGTTGGTTTAGCGGTTGGTTTAGTGGTGGTATGATCCGTATGTAAGCCACGAGTTCAACTGTTCGCAGGGGATCTCCAAGCGGACAGCTGTGGTTCGGGGAGCTTCCGGAATGATTCTTTGGGGCTTTGTCTCAAAAGGATGTGACGGCCCATGGCAATGGTTTCCTTTTGGTTCCCTAACCAATACCTCACTCCCTGAGTTTCTGGACTTTAGACTTGATCGGCGCTTTTGGGATTTAGACCAGTTTAGCGGTAAACAGAAAGATTGGCTCCTTTTTCTGGCTAAGGTTGACCCCATGTTAAGCAACTCCAGTTTATTAATGGCTTGTTTCGCCATCCCGGAGGGTGGGTCCAAGTACCTTCCAAGGAGGTATAGACCCCTTGTTACTCCCCAAAAGCCATCCTCATGAGGCATGGTTTTTTTTCTGGCCAATCCGCTCAGGGAGTGAGACAGTCGTGATGAAACCCCGGCAGGATCTGACGGATCCTCGCTGGGATCTGGTGGCTGCGCCGCGCACGGAGGAGCCAAACACCAAGAAGCTCCGCCGATTTTTTTCTCGAGGCACCGAAACTTGGCGCTGCGGGTTGCCGGAGAGTGGTCCGGTTCCAGAAAGGTGTTGATTTCAACATTTTAGCAAGAGACGTTTTTTTGTTGGGGGGGTTGTTTCAACTTTCAGCAAGTGACTTTATGTGTTTTTTTTCTTTTTTGTTTTTTTTTAAATTTCTATTTCTTCGGGGGGGGGGGGGGGTTAGGGTTTATTCGCGGGGGGGGACCCCAGTTTGGCCGCCAGTGACCCATGTTGCTCGCTTGCCCAAACCTCACATTTCGACGTCCAAGTCGTGGCCGCGCAAAGGCGACGCCTTTCAGGTCCCTTGGGCAAGTGACGAGTGGTTCAGGGTTACCGGAATTTCCCCAAATCAAACGTGGCAACTTGATGGTTTCCCTTGAAACCATCGCCACTTTTGGAGGTTGCAAAAATGGAAACGGAGGAAACCCTGTGGTTCAGCAAAAACAACATTCCACCGGATGTGAGGCTCAGGGTCCGTGAAAGGAGCCAGTGCTAAAAGCACCTCCAGCTCATTCTGGATCTTTGGGTTTTTGTAAAGCAGGTGGGCTTTTGGATGTGTCCATCCACCGGAACTTACACGCCTAGGTCCCCAGTAGTGCCCTTTTACCCCTTTTTGGGGGAGGGTTCCCCTACTAAAATAGACTAGAGAAAAAAGTTGGTACCCTTGTTCTAACCTTTCTGCTGGAGGACCCAACACGCGGTTTCAAGCGGTTTCTTCAGCCGGAGGAGCAGTGTCTCGTGCTGCGGCGGATCTATCCCGACGCGAAGGCACCGCATTGGCCTGCGATGAAGGTTCATTCACTAGGCGGTGAGCCGTTTTTGGTTCCGGAAAGGGGTTTGATGCTTTTGGTTGTCTTTTTTTAAGTGGTTTTTGGCTTGCTGTGGTTGGAGTTTTCGGGTTTAAGTTTTAACGCACACGTTAAACTTTTAGCAGGAGGTCAGCTTGGCCAGCTCAGATTTCTGATGTGTCAGAATCAGGATTTGAACCCCCCCCCCAAACTGGCAGGTTTCCTTGTGGCCCCGTTTTTAAAACCACCCCAAGGGGTACCCTCAAGCAAACAATCGGTGTGGCTCAAGATTAAACGATCGGAGGGGCAAGCCGCAGGTTTTGGTCCATTCCACTTACCGATCGGGCAAGCCATTTTGGAATTTTCCGGTTTTTGGAGCCACAGCCATACGTCCCATGATCAAGACCAATTGTTTGCTTGGGCTTGGTAGGGAGGGTCGTGCACTGTACAGTAGCGCGCTCTACACCTGTAAAGCTTCCTGCCCTTTCAGAGATCATGACCACCCACCTCATGCATGCAGTTTTCACCGTGGCACAGAGGAGATATGAGATGCTGACGATATGGTTTTTGGTGGTCTATGTTCTATGTTGTGGTGGGTTGAGGTTTGGTCAAGGGTGGGTTCAGGCTGGGTATAGTCCTGGTTTAGGGTTTGAGGGTTGACAAGGGGCTTAGGCAGGGCTCAGGGGTGGTTTAGTGTTAAAGCTGGATTTAGGGTTGGAATAGGGTTTAGGACCAAAAGCCATGGACACGTGCACAAGCCGCCACAATGTTTGAGGGGTTTGGCTGGGTCAGGGTTGGCTAAGTAAACGCGAGTTAGGTTGAGGGGTGGGTTTTGGGTCGGCGTTTTAAGGGTCAGTCAGTTTGGTCAGGAGATGCCCCAGTTTTCTCACAGAATTCAGAGGGAGCACCACCCATTTCAGTCTATTTTAGTGGGGCTTGGGATGTTCACTGGGGGTACGGGATTTTGACCCATGGCCATGTGACAATAAGGGTTCGCTTGGCATCTACGACAGTTGCCAGGAGCCTTGACCGTGCCACTGGGCTGAATCCCTTAGCTCAGGTTGGCGAGTTGTAGCTGCAGATGTTGCCGTGATAGGACTACCAGGTGAAACAAGTCCCAGGATACCGGCTGCTGTGTGCACAGAAGTACTTCGGGAGAGCGCCATCATCTTGATAAAGGCTGCTTTTCAATTCCATGGTTGTTGAACAGAAGGCAATCACACCAGACAGATTCCATTGACATATTCTTACGTTTGATCCTTCCCCTTTGATCGCAAACAACCGGGACCTTAGCAGTGGAGCCCTTGCTTTTGGCATCAAGGATAAATCGTGAGACCCCCTTGAAGGCCCTTGAAAAGGGACATGGTCTTCTGCTTCATCTTCAGACTTTGGAAAGCTAGGACCCCCCCCCAAAAAAAAGAAAACACAAACAAGCAAAGGACCAACGTTACTGCTATTGGGTGAACACCCGAGCCCTTTTTTGTGAGCGCAGTTCCGGATGGCACAAATGGACGAGGGTCGCGCGCTGCGAGGTGAAGGTGCGCATCGTGCCGCGGCGCGCGGAGGATGTGGAGGACTTGGGAGGGAGGGGTTGAAGGAGCTCGTCTCCACATGAGTGAACCTACAACAACCTGCGCTGATCAAGAGACATGCGCATAATGCATATGTGTCATTATACATATGTATATATACACATACCTAATAAACATAACAGAACGCACCACAACATAGCATGAACAAATACAACATAACATAAGTTTACTCAGACGTATACATACATATATTTATTTGTATACACATTATTTGCATATATTTATACGCAGTATACACACTGATTCACACAGCGGACGAAGCCCCAGAATCCGGGCCAACAGCACATGCCGCCATTCGACGACAGTGATGTGTTTTTGTTTGTCTTGAGGAGGTACTTGGATGTTCGATTCGCCAAGTTATTAAGTGGTGATCGCCATTTGTGGTATACCACTTACAATAAGGTCAACCCCGCTGCGGGATATTTATAAGTGGTTTGTAGCCTAGGTTCCCAACAACTCACTAACTTGGCTGAACATTCAAGCAAGGGGCTGGCAGCCTTTGCTGTGAGCGCCACTTCCAGGGGACCTGAGGACAGCATCCTCTGTTGAAAAACTCGCTGGCGCACGGCGAATCGACTCCGGATCTGCCCTTTTGGTTTCTGATATGGGCAACCACTTTTTGTGGACCCACAAGGTGAAATATCAGAAGAAAGAGAGACCCAAGGGCTCCAGGGCCCAGATTTTTTTCAGTTTTTGGTGGCCCCAGGCTTTTAAAGTCCGGGCCCCCCTAAAAAAAGGACAACATCTGGGTGTGCCTAGGCCCAAGCCTTGACTGGGTACCTGGACATAGACACGTGATCCAGCTCAGAAGTTGGAGCACTGGTGGTGGAAATTTTTGGCGCGTTCGGGGCCAAACCCCTGTCTTTCAAAACTGCTGTGCGTCTGGTTTCCAAAATGGAATCATGCGGCTTCTGCAAGTCTTCCTTTCCGGCTTCGCTGGACCGAAATCTCAACATGTCGTGTTTCGAGGGAGGCGGCCACTGAACATGAGTCACTGGAGGGGTCAAAACCGATTCGGGCCTTGGAATGATTCTTTAGGTCCCCCAGCAGTTGGTGCCCGAGCCCTTTCTCACCCCCGTTTTTGGTTGGGAGGACACCCCCCTACGAAAATAGACGAGAGAAAAAAGGAACGGTAGCCTGAATTCTAACCTCTCAAATCTGGAGGACCTGGTTTACATGGATGTGGCTCCAAGAACTGGTACCCACTTTGCGGCCCCTTGGAAACCAAGATAATTTTAGCTCTTCAATTTTGAGCCACACCCACCATGGATTGTGGGTAGACCACGTTAAAAAAAAGAAAAGTTTTGATCCACCCATGAAACAAGTTGCAAGTCACCCGCCAAAAAAGCCATGGGTGGCAAAAATCCCTGTTGCAAGGGTATTTGGTTGCATGACTCATTTTGAAAGCGTAGGTTGGTTGCAATAACCCATTTTTAAGCGAATTTTGAGGGGCCAGGACGACGAGAGTCCGAGTCGGAGAGTACAGGTGGTGGCCTTTGACAGCTACATCCCACAAGCAGCGCAGCTTCGTGCCTGGGCAAAGTGGGTGAAAGGAAGGTCTCGAGTCTGCCGAATTGGCTCAACATCTAGCAAAACTCCTTAAAATAAACTCATGTTGCCACCATTTGAAGCATGTTGCTTTTTCAACACCAAAATACAGGGAAACAACACCATTTACAAGACAATGTTCAGGTGTATAATGTAAGGATCCCTGTCCAGGTCCCCCAGTGCGATTTTTTACCGTTTCTCTTTTGGAGGAGGGTTCCCCTACTGAAATAGACGACAGAAATAAGTTGGTGCCCTTATTCTAACCTCTCTACTGGAGGACCTAGACATGATCCTTCAACAGATTGGGGAGCCTTATCGTCATACTGTGGATGGTTGCAAAATCCATGCGTAACAATGGCTCCTCATGGTTTCAAAGGGTACGAACGGATTGCGTACATCCACTGTAGGTTGGGGATTTCTTCAAAGATATGTCAAACATATTTCACTCTGTCGTTTTCGGTTCCCTTGTCACAAGTGCCAGCATGACGTTTGTTTTTTGTCACGCTGGGTGCTAAGGGTGAGTTGATTCTCATGAGGTATGTGCACATTTGGTGGCACCGTCCCTCTAACGAGCAGAACGGGCAGAAGACCTGGCTGCGTTTTGCCGTTTTGGGGGGAGGGATGCATGGACTGCGCCTTGATCTTGAGACGAGGATGCCGCCGGTTTCAGTTTTGGTTCCAGCGACACTTTCTTCTGGTATGTTTGGCCAAGTTAGGAAGTGGCCAACGCCATCTGGGTTAGCCACTAACTGCACCTTGAGGAGGCTTAGTGGGTTAGAACCCAGGTTGACAACTGGCTAACTTGGCAACTTGAACACCCAAGTGGTGAATTCGTTGTTGTTTTCCACGACTTCTGAAGCCCGGAAAAAGAGAAGAAAAAAAAAGGGTCTCAATGGAGGCGTCGATTTGCCGGCCTTGCCAGGCGCGGCCTTCGCGCGGATGGAGAAAAGGGAAGCCGAGGGGCCTACGTTGGTGGGGCCTACGTTGGCTGTGTCCGGCAGTAGAGATGTGCCATGATCAAAAGAGGTCCAGCAACTTCAGGTTGGTAGAGGTCGACCTTTGACCAAGGGAGTTAGAGAATTGTAAGGGCTCCCTGCGCAACGATCTCTTGTGGCTTTGGGGTTGGTTTCACAATTCTGTGGCAAGAAGCCACCAGCTATTTAAGGAGAAATGAACAGATCGTGGTTGATACAAGGGCGATTCAATGCTGGTTCAAACATGTTGCCCAAGCCTCGTCTTTCAAAGGCAAGGGGCGATGTGTGTTTTGGCCGCTCGCTTGTGAGGACTTCTGCATGCCATGCTCAAAGCCGACCAGGTTCCATGCTCCATCTGAATGAACGTTACCTCGTCTGCCTAGGTGTCCTTTTTGGTTGATGTTGAAAATTAGAGGGCGATTCCTGGTTTTCCTGGTGGTTCAATCAACCAGGGACATCCATCCGATTTTCAACCAAACAGGACTCCTATGGAGCTGCCTGAGTTGCCTTTGGACCCGGTGAAATGTCCCCTTGGGCGCAACTTGGGCGTCCCCAAAGGTCCAAAGGCCGCGAAAGGAGTTCGACAAGAGAGAGTGAGTCAGCTGGACCTACACGTGGTTTTGGGCGACAAGAAACGGATTTTCCAGTTTGGAAAAAGTGAAGGGTGGCCAACTCATGATGCCAAACAAATTGCTGGAAGCCTTGGCTCTCATGAAACCTTGGACGGCTTTTGGAAGGGTGTCAAATGGGGTAACCCCAAGCACTAAACCAACTAAAAACCATCTAACCCACTCCCCTCCCGCCCCTTGAAAAAAACACGGAAAAACAAAAACCGGGCTGGGTACTTTCCACTGACCAGCTTTGTTTGTGCCCCCCCCCCCTTCCCCCCCTTCGGGTGCTTCCCAACCTGAGCCGCTCCTTTTGGCCTCAGCTCGCGGCAGAGCTCATGAGACGGACATACTGTGGATGGTTGCGAAATCCAATTCGCACCACCCAAGAAACCCTGGAAGGATGATTCCCCTGCAAATACCAACCAACAATACGGAAATAACAGCCGAAAATTGCAAGGGAAGAAGTGTGATGAACCTAGCTTGGTCATCTCAAAAAGAATATTTTTGCAGAAGGGATGAGCCTTTTTTGTTAAATCACAAGATGCACACCGTTTGTCCTCAGCTCAGACTCCGAATTCGGCTCTCTGCAAAATTTTGGCCGGCTTTTTGTTGCTGACCTGCAGGCAGGAGGCTTGGGGGGGGGGGTTTGAAGGGACGCCAAAAGGAACGCCCCTCAAAATGGGGGGTCCCCCCTCTTCTGACACATAGCTGGTTGGAAGGGAGCTGGACCCAAGGTGAATGACATCAAGTGAGTATTCATCGATCAAACCTCTTTAATTCCCGTGCACACCACAAACGATTTGCTTCGGGCGTGGGGCGTCCGAATGACCAGTGTCAATATAGATGGTTGGGCCCTACCCGGCAGATTGACAAAAAACCAAAAACTGATGGCGCCCAAAGCAGTTGAACACGTGTTGCTTCCAGGAACCCCGCCCCCCCCCCCCCCCGCCGCGATTTCTGACCTTTTTTGGGGTCCCCGCATGTTTTAAAACTCGCCCCCTTTTAACCGCGTCAGAGGCGATTTCTCTTCTAGGGCAAGCTTCCAACCATTCCATGGATCCTTCTTGTCAGGCAAATTTCAGAAGCTTAGGGGAAACAGAACCATTTTTTGGAGAAAGGAAGGATGGTCGAAAAGACTGGACAAGGAATCAACCCTCCGCTGGCAATCAACCCCTAGACCTCGAAAGAATGGACGAGGAATCAACCCCTCCGCTGGCAATCAACCCCTCCTGGCTGCTAGGCGGAGTGCGGCCTTGGCTCGACCAATGTCGGTTCAAAGCAACGGCGCCAGTGGCGCCCAGAGAATTTTTCGTGCGTGGAGTCGCCATGTGAAAGAAGTCGTCTGGGCGACTCCCAGCCGTCCGGTTCCTTAGGTGACTAAGGCCCCCAGCAGGTGCCCTTTCTCACCCCTTTTTCGGTCGGGAGGGTTCCCCTACTAGAATAGACTACGGGAAAAAGTTGGTACCCTTATAATAACCTCTCAACTGGAGGACCTAGGTGATGTTTTTAGTTGGTTTAGTGGTTGGGTGTCCATTTGAACCACTTGTGAAGCTGTTAGCCGATCAGAAAACGGACCGCCCAGACCCCAGAGAGAAGTCGGAAAAAAATACTCGCTGAGTTCCGTTTCGGACTTGAAACTTTTGGGGTTTGGTGGCCATTGTAGAAGTGAACACGATTCTTTGCTTGCTCAATCCACTCAGGAAGTGAGGAAAGGCGAAATGCATTTCTTGGGCATCCAAAATGGTGGAGAACGTTTAGTGGCAAATGATGTCCGCCCTTTGGGGGTCATTGCAATGCAGCCCCAAATAAACAACGGGACATATTTTGACAAGCCAACCAGTAACTCATCAGAGATGTTGCGAGCCAAATGAGTAAATTAGCAAATGAGCAAATTGAAGGCTCCCTTTTGGAGGCAGGGTTGTCAGATGGGCCGGATGAAACCAACGACAAGAAGCCACATGGGTTTTGGGTGGTTTTGTAGAAAGAAGGATGCCTGAAAAGAATGGGGAAGGTACCCCTAGAATAGTACTCAAAAAGGGTGTTGGTTCCTTCTGGTTTCCCCCCTCAAAAAAAAAGCGGCAGAGGGTGGCCCCAAAATGGCGCAACGGTGTTTCTTTTGGTTCCAAGAAACCCGCAGAACTTGGGTGCCTTTCGCCTCAAGAGGCAGGCCCCAATGAGGTGACCCCCAAGTCCTTCAGAGCTAAGGGATGCGCATCTCCAAAATGGGCCATTTGGGCTGCCCTTCAGTATTTCCTGACCGGGCAGAAACACATTTGACCCCCGAAGCTGAATCTCACTGAACTGTGACTGTGTACTAAGCATAAATGTGTTTTTGTTTAAAAGGGTGTATCCTTTTTCGGATGGTTTTAATGGGAAGCCAAAAGGAACACCACCAACTTTGGGACACACACGGCCACGTATCCAGTACCTCTAGGCGTGATTTATACGGGGCCCTTTTTCAGGAACACCCGGCGGACTTGAATCGGCCGCCGAGGCCAAAGCGGAACGCACCGCCAGCACGGCTAGCAAGGCGCGAGAGTGGAAACCTTGGACATGTGTGGAGGTTCCCTGGAAAACGTGTGTGACCTTTTTTAAGGTGGGACCCCAAAATGGCGGCGTTCCTTTCGGTTTCCCTTTTGAAACCAAAGAACGCGGGGTTTCCTTAGAGCAATCTACCCGTTTTGCACATGGGAAGTCGCGACAGGCTGCCAATGGAAAATTGTCCCAAAAAAGAACCCTAGGCAACATGACCAAGGGATTTGGTATGCGACCTCACCTGAAATGAACCTTCCATTCTTCGGCAGCCTTCACTTGAGGTTGGTGAGTTTCTATACCCCTAACGGACCTGACACATACATAGAGAGTGTGCTTCCACCAAGAATGAAGGGTGCCTTCTAAAATGGGACACCTCCTACATGGATGAACGAAATCCTGTCCCACCTAAGAAACCCTGGAATGTTTCGAGTCCCCAGCAAATACCAACAAGAAGTGGTTTCCAATAGTTTCAAAATGGTGCAGGATTTCGTCCATCCACAACATCAATCAACCAGAGGTTTGTTCATTGATTCTGGGTTTGGTTCACAAGCCCACGTGTTTCCAGGAACACCGAGGGTGGGCCTGGCATTTTATGAAACACATGGGGCTGAAAGCAGGTGCCACTAGTTTGGGTTCAGGTTGTTTCGTCCCCTTTACTTTGACACCAGTCTGGATGTTCGATGATTCAATGTACTGGCCATTATTTTGAACAGTAACTCCTAGCGGCATGGTTTGAAGGCGAAACCTCAGGCTTGTCTCGAGGCGAATTGTTCACGGAGGTCCCGTGCATGGACGAAATCTGCTTCGTATCCGTTGATAAGTGGTTTGTCCCACTATGGGGTTTCATTCATCCCAACTGGTGCGAAGCGGATTTCTTGTCCATCGGTCGCGATCTGGTTCCCATCGGACGTGTAGGTGGGGGGCGTGAAACCTTGGTTGATCTTTGGTCCGACCAGTTTCCTTTCATCTTTTTGGAGATTGAAGGTTTTCCTCGAAGAGCGTCAACCACCTTTCAATTTCAACTTGAATGTTCATGTTCCATTTTTTACCGCCAACGAGCAAGTTGCTTGTGCATGTTTCGTCATATGCCCCGCATGCTTGCCACCAAAAGGACAACATGTACCCCCGACTCCAAATAAATACCCACAGTTTCTAGGGTATCATGTCGACCCTCTACTAAAAAAGTGAGGTGTTTACCTTGAAAAGCCGATCGGCTCTCCAAAATCTACCCCCGAAAAAAGGCCGGGTACTTGGAGTATAGGGGTAGGTTGCCCGGGTCGGCCAGCCTCGCCGGGCTCCCAGAAAGCCAGCGGGAGGCCGGGCTGCTGTCAGTCCTGGTGCTGCAGAACTGCGCCTGCGCCATTCTGGCCGGAGCCCTGTTCGCGCCTTCTCCGCGGCGGAGAGTGCCATGTTCGAGTCGCCAAGTTAGTGAAGTTCACCCGGGGTTAGTCAATGAGTCGCTAGTGACTGGGTGTAGTGGTAGCTAGTGACTGGGTGTAGTGGTAGCTAGTGACTGGGTGTAGTGGTAGCCACCTGTACCTGCGTTACCCACTGGTGACTAGTGACTGCTTGTGAACCCCGCTAGGTTAGAACCCGTGGCAACTTGCCAACTTGGCACCGTGTCAGATGTTCTAGGTCCCCCAGTAGTGCCCTTCTCAGCCCTTTTTTGGGGGAGGGTTCCCCGACTAAAATAGACTACAGAAAAAAAGGGCGCCCTTATTCGAACCTCTCTACTGGAGGACCCGGTGTTAAGTCGTGGGAGGATCCTGTTTTGGGCGTCTCCTTTGCCATTCTGCCGTTGAGTGCTGGCTCTTGGCCCTCTCACCCTTGGGGAGTGAGCCTCCAGCGAGAAAGCCCAGAAAGAACTCAGCGCTGATGTGGATGGTCGCGAAACCCGTCCGTTTCGCAGCACCCGTTTATTGACACCCCGGGTCTGATTCGGTTCCCCAAGTAAATGCCAAGAAACATGGCTAGGTCCCCCAGTAGCGAGCGCCCTTTACCTTTTTTGGGGAGGGTTCCCCTACTAAAATGGACCCTGATTCTAACCTCTCAAATCTGGAGGACCTAGATGGTTTCAACCTTGGCTTCATTTCGGGCGAAATGGATTTCGCAACAACCAGAGGAGACCAGAGGAGCTGAATTGAAGACTACCCCGCCGTTGGGCCGATGGCTTAGGTCAAGCAGAGCCGGCAGCACTCCGAGCATTGGGCCCGGGCCGCGACCACCGATTTGGGAAGCCGGACAGGTTGTTGCCTGGGCAACCGAAAGGGGCAAACCGCCCAAGTCTTGTGGATTCCCATCTCGGGAAAGAAACCCAATTTCTTGAAGGTAAGTGGAGACTGCCCCAACCAGAAATGGGTGCAAGTCCTATTGATTCTTTACTGCTAGAAGCTTTGGTTGTGACTAAATTGCTTCTTTGTCTTGTCTTAGGGTGCTTTGCCGTTTCTTAGTTTCTTTGTTTGGTGCCTGTTTTTGTTGCGGCTTGGCTTGCTTGGATTTCCCCGGTCTTCGCGTGCTTTTGTTTGCTTGCTGTGGCATGCTTGCTTCAATGCGGTTTTGGCCCTTAAGAAGCTTTAACACACGTACATACACCCTCTCACACGGAGAGAACAAACCAGGCCCAAACATGGTTCCGCTAGGATACTTGCAACAGCCACCAGCTGAAACCAAAGAAAGAGCCAACACACGTCACTGAAACGACTTAAAGACAGCCGAAAGGCGCCATTTTGGGGTAGCCCGATTTCTGGCCCTATCGACCCCATTTAAAGGGGCAGGGTACTTAGAAAGTGGGTAGTAAACCTGGTTACGTCTCACTTAGGAGGCTTATATCCATGGCAAGCGGGTTATAACCATGGTTACTAACCACTTACCTGGCGTACCCGATCGCGCCTTTAAGCAAGGCTTTCAGCTGGAAAAAAGAACCAGCCACCCCCCAACAGTTCACAGGGAGACCTTCGCCATTAGGTCCGAGCCGAACTCTCTTGAGACATGCCCATGGGGTCAAAATCCCGTCGCCCAGTAAACATCCCAATCCCCACTAAAATGGACTAAAATGGGTGGTGCACCTACCAACCAAAATGGGATCCCAGAACGGTTTTGACAACCACAGCCGCATCTTTGCCATGTCCGAGGTGCCTCAGACGGGGGTGATCTTGCAGGAAGCCTTGAAGGCGGAACCCCCAAACACTCGGCGCGGTAGATTTTGCGGGGTCCCGAGTTGGTGGGTTTTTAAGCCCATGCCTAAGGTCTCCTTCTGACCCTTAAAAAAATGGTTGGTCATTGCCCTAAATCATGGTTGGTCATGGACCTATTTTTTTGATTCGGGTCACGGAGACTCCAGGTGGATAGCACATCTTGCGAGAGATCTGTAGCGCCAAGAGGTAACCCCCTGGCCTTCTTTTCCCTCGGTGTCGGAGCATCCGTCGGCACGGGCATACCCCCCCCCTTTTTGCCCCCTATGGGCACGGTCCTCTCACTTTTCAAGGACTACGCAGTAGGTTGCTAGCCTTTTCTTTGGGGCGGAGGGGGGGGGTTTGGGCTTCCTTTTAAAGCCTGCCAAAAAGAGAGTATCAGACAAATTCGGCTCGGAAAGCCGGCTGCGCCAACTGTGTATGGCAATGAACACCCTTGCTCGAATGTAAAAGCACCATCCACGTTTGTTCGGTTGGGACAAGTGCAACGCGTTTGGGTCTGGTTTGTCTCTAACATAGGGACACCTGCAATTTCTGGTTTTTCTTTGGCTTCAACAAATGGTGTCTTCTTAGAGGCCTCCTTAAAAAAGCGGCGCTGCGATTTTCCTCATAGTTTCCCTCTAAAACCACAAGGGGGGTACCAACTCAAAAAAAAGGGGGAGGAGGAAAAACAAAAAACTGCCCACAATCCAACCCCAAAATTCGGGTCAGGGGCTGGCGAGCGTGGCTCTGGCAGTGATCGGAGGAGCGTCTCTCGAAGGCTCGCGCCCGAAGTGTTCACCAATCTCTCGCTCATTTGATTGCCTAGGTCCCCCAGCAATTGGTGCCCGACCTCTCACCCCTTTTTTGGGTAAGAGTTCCCCTACTAAAATAGACTACAGCAAACCGTGTACCCTTATTCTAACATCTCTACTGGAGGACCTAGTGGCTAGTGGGTTCGATGTTTAGACTTTAACTGTTTGGGAAATCAAGGGTTTTCCAAAAGTTAAACTTATTGCAGAGGGGTCAACGGCAACCAAGCTTTGAGCGTGTCTTGTTGGTGGGTACCAAGCTTTTGTGGTTTTAAGGAAACCACCAGGAAGCGACCATTTTGGGGAGTTCCCTAAAAAAGGAGCCACACACATTTGGCCACAATCAAACCCGGGTAGTGACCAACCATGAAGAGGAGCAGCAAGAAGCCCTGAACAAACTGTTTCCTAAGGTCTTGGATGGACCACTTTGGTACTCTGTTTTGATGATGACTGGAGTTACCATATGGCTGTGGGTCAAAACCAATGGTACCATTTTGGGGTAGGTGCACCACCCATTTTAGAGCCTATTTTAGTGGGGATTGGCATGTTCACTGGAGGTACGATTTGGATTTTGACCCATGGCCATATGTCCAACACACATCGGGAGACTTAAGTTAGTCCTTGTCCCAAAGCCGACTTATCGAAACACAAGGGTTTTGTGCCAGCATGCTCCGCAAACGAAAGTAAGCCCACCTCGACTCTCCATGACCCTTTAAAAATGGGTCCATGACCCCATTATTTAGGTAATGACCCCATTTTTACAGGGTCAGAAGGAGACTCTAGGCAGATGTTATCCCCAACTGCCCCGGAACCCCTGAAACCCCTGGAACCCTCCTTTTTCAACCCTTCCTGAAAGCTGCCCGGCACCACCCCAGAGCCTATGTGGGCCTATCCACCCCATAGCTTCCAGCTGTTGGGCACGAAAGGCCCCCCTGACATTGTCGTATGCAGTTTTAGTCAGGGGTTGTTCTTAGACTATCGCCCAGGATCGGCCACAATCTTACATTTTATGCAAACATGTTGCAAATACCAAGTCAATTCCTACTCAAAACTATCGCGTGGAAGTGAAATCCTCACGCTTGTTCCATTAATTCAAGTCTTGTGGGATTACATACCTCCCTGAGGCCAATATAGACGCTCGCCAGAAGTGATATTTGGGGGCACATTGTGCTCAGGAGTAGTAGGGTGAGGCGGCTGTTACAGCATCCATGAGTAACTAGAGTGAGCCACCAATTGTGTTTTCCTGAAGGCATACCCCAGAACCTGTGCGTCATGCTTGATTGGCAGCTAAAAGCTGTGTTTAGATTCAGTGTTTCCTGTTTCGCTTGTTCACTTCCGATGGAAGTTGAATTTGACACTAACTTGCCAGCAACTACAACCGCAGCGGTCTTGATACTGTGGATGGACGAAATCCTTCACCACTTGGAAATTATGGGAAGCCATTGTTTGTTGGTATTTACAGGAGAATCATCATTCTAGGGTTTCTTGGGTGGTGCGAAATGGATTTCGGCCATCCACAGTATGTCTGGCCATCCGCATTCTTCATGTGTGCATGCGCTCGTGCCCGCGTCATTCGGCCGCGCTTCGCTTGGTGCGGGTGTGAAATCGCGCTCGTGCCACGGGCTCCTCAGGGTCCTCCGGATGAATCATCCGAGGTTGACATTCCCGAAGAAACGAGAACAAGACCCACTTCCGTTCGCTGAAATGAATATGTGTTTCTGTTCCCCTGGTGGCTTATCAAGGGACTCTATGTCACGACTGGACGTATTGTTTTTCTCACTTTTTTCGGAGGGGGCGCAAGCAACTGCAAGTGGAAGAAGCCTTACAACCTGTGAGAGTCGTGTTTTTGGCGCTTCCCAGCCGTCCACGTTTCAGAAAGGGGTTTCGCTTTTTTCGGTTGGGGGGGGCGGGTTTAGTGGTTGGGTGTCTATTCAACTTAAGCAAATGGAAGTTCCAGGTCCCTGCGCTCAGATCCGCCACTCTTAGGCGCCCTGGACCCCCGCGAGTTGCTGCGCTCGGCCGTGCGCTGGGCCCGGAGTTTTGGATTGCAGTGTCGCTCGGGTGATTTCGCCGGGCTATTGACTGCTATTGGGTTGGATCTTTAGACATTAACTTTTTGGGAAATCAAGGGGTTTTCCACTAAACCCCCCAAAAAGTGAAAAACTTTTTGCAGGGGGGTCAACGGCAACCAAGGAAAGATTCCCCTCTTTCCAATGGAAGTGGACAGAGGGGTTGCCCAAAAGGAAAGATTTCGTCTTCCAGCGCTTCCAGATTCCTCCGATCGTCAGCTTCCATGACTGAGGGAGGGTACAATTTGGCCATGCAAACCGGGACCTTCTCCGATAGACCAAGAGGACACCGCTATTTGGGCCCCAGTCACACTCGTGTGACAGACATAAGGCCCACGCTATATTCAAACAGCTCTTACCACCTCCAAAGAAGCACCGATTCCAGTTTTGCTCTATTTCAGTCTTAAGGTGCGTGTGGGGTCCCGCAGAGGGGTGCGATCGTTTCTGTGGCTTTGCCTCCTCCAAACAGTTGTATGAAGCAACACGCAGCCCGAACCAACTTGGTACCAAGCGAGGCTGAAACCAAGCAACCAAATAGGCATTCTAGAAGCAACCAAACAAACAAACAAACAAACAAACAAACAAACAAACAAACAAACAAGAAGGCAAGCAAGCAGGCAGGCAAGCAGAGGCAGACATGCAAGCGGGCAGGCAATCGAATGAACGAGCGAACGAACAGACAAACAGACCATCAGACAGCCAGACAGACAGATAGAGAACCAACGAACCAACCCAGAAACCAACCAGCCAACCAACCAAACACTCAAACAACCAACCAAACACTCAGTCAACCAAACAATCAAACAACCAACCAAACAACCAAACAAGCAAACAAGCAGCGCGAACAACACAATACCCGCGTTGTGAGCCATTTTGTGCAAAACATGTTTTTAGAGCCACGGCCAAAAGAGGTACCTGGAAATTCAAAGTATCCTTAGAAATTGGTTATTGCAACCCAACATTCTCCCTCAAAGTATCCTTAACAATGGGTTATTGCAACATTCTGGTGGGTGAATTTTCCCTTTTGGGTAGACTCTTCGGGTCCAGGTCGTGGTTTCTTTGGAGGATCTGACCCTTTAAAACTTTACGCCCCGCTGGGAGTGAGTGTTGAGGCCAGCCCTGCTATACCTGGTGCAGAACAACCTGCAGCGCGGGGCCTGGGTGGCTCGTGCTTTAGGAATCGGTGCTTTAGGAATCGGACCCTACAAGGGGGTTCCTTTTGGTTTCCCTTTGAACCAACACCAGAAAGGCGTAGCCTCACAAAAAGACACATCCATACCTGGACCAACCAAGGGCACTTTTTTGCGACTGTCTGCAAGAATCCGTGCATTTCCTTGAAATCCATACATTTTAGCAAAAACTGTACTTTTCTTCTTGCAGGCTCAACGCAAGACACAGGAGCATTCAACTATTTTTTCTACAAGAATCTCACATTCAGCTCCGGCCCACTGGAGATTGTCATGCTCATGGGCCAAGAAAAGTTTGAAGGTGTGCAATTCACCAAGGACAAAAGGTGCGCATTTCCCCAAGCAAATTTTCCGCTGATGTCTGTTTTTTTGTTTTTTCTTTGCAGATTTCCGTACTTTTCCCGCCGATTTCCGTGGCCGATTTCCGTGCATTCCGTTTTCTGCATTTTGGCTGAGAAAGCTGCAAACTCGCAAAAGCGGCAAGGAAGCTGTCACACGTTGCCCCACAGCAATAGGAGACGAATGACCTGAAACGGAATTAAGTATACCGGGCCATGTAAATTGCAAACTGTGTTCATGTGCATCCATGTGCACCACAAACGCTCACAGCCTGCCAAAAGCGATTTCCGTCAAATTTCCTCAAGAGTGTACATGTTTTTTTCTTCTTCTGCATGTACGGAAATTTCTGTACTTTTGGAGAGTTCAGGTATGAGGGAGCCCCCCAACAAACAGAGTACCAAGAGTGTCAGATCACGACACTACATTAGACATGCAGCTGGCTTCAAACGCAAGAGAGCAACACATGAGAAAAAGTCGGTCAACTCCACGGTGCTTTGCTTTCAGGCTAACATGATGGGACAACACCTCCCTTCGAAGGATTCAGATAATGTTGACCCCATATTAATCAACCCCTGCTTCTTAGCAGGGGGGTGTTCCCCTCCAAAAGTGACAATTCCCCACTGAACCCAGGGACACCGCCGCACAGGGGTTTATTGCTATGGGGTCAACATTACAGCGATGCGATGCCGAGGTATGTAGCCTTGGCCTACCTTGAGCCGGCCACCTACACGGCGCGAGCTCAAGTCGATCTCGCCCATTTCGCTGGTAAGGGAAGACCACCGCAACATGTCTTGGTGATTCCCAGGCATCCGGTTCCCTAGGTGATTAATTGCTTTTAGTTTTTGTTCGGCGGGGTTTTCCATTTGACTCAGAAGCAAACAACTTTTAGCAGGGGATCGATTTGGGGAGCCCAGTCTTGGGTGGTTTGTTGATTTTGAGAACCCCTTGGAGGCAAGGCGCGGGACCGTCCAACCCTGGTGCTATTCTAATTTGGCTGTGGGTCAAAAACAGGTACCCAAAATGGAAGCAACGGAAGCATAGACTAAAACCTGTGATCCCCTGTAGGCTCAATTTTGACTCATATCCAATTGAAGTCGCGCAAATGGTCCTAGGCAACAAAGCCATGTATTTTGGGGTCTTTGCTTTGAGCATTTCTGGGGGTTATCAAAGTCAGAAATTCGGGTGGTTTGCCTTCAACCTACCTCTTGGGGAGTGACTTTGAGAATTTCCTCATCCTTTCTCGGCTAGTTTGATCAGAAATAGATGGCACATGTTTAGACTGGTTTTTTTTATGCCCCATTTACCAGAGACATCCACCCATTTTGTTCAAAAGGAGACCTATGGCTATGATGCTGCAAGCAAACAAGTCTGGAGGTCTGCTTCTGCTTTGCGGCAGCTTTAGATTGCACTCCATCGGCTTGCGCGAAAAAGTACACCTTGTACTCTTGCCATTGATCATGTGCTAGCCTCTGGTACAGGCACCACCTAAGAAACCCGGCACTCTGCACCACAGAAGAAAAACCCTGGAATGATGCTTCCTCTGTAAGTAGCTACCTGGAGTCTCCTCCTGACCCGAATCAAAAATAGGTCCATGACCATTATTTAGGGTAATGACCAACGATTTTTAAAGGGTCATGGAGACTCTTGCTGCACACTTCATGGTTTTTCACATCCCCAATTCGTTCCTTTGTGTGGCGCGGTGGGATGCGGATTTATCACGTCCCGATCCATCAGAGGTGCATTTTGCTTGGATGTTAGGACTTTAACTTTTCGCCTTTTAATTATGGGTGTTCCATTAAGCCACTAAAAGTGAAACTTTTAGCAGGGCTTCGCAGAAAGCAAGCGAGTGATCGAATTTGCTCGAAGCCTTGGAGGTGACCTACCAACTGAAGATTCTGAGCACGGCCGTTTGCTTTGCCGGAGCCTCGGAGGCTTCGATGGCATCCCGATCGAGCGATCGAATCCCTGAGACGTGGCGAATGGGCGCCTCCCCCAACTTCGAAGAGGACACCTGGGTTTCCTCAATTGGCTGTGGCTCAAAATTAAAGAGCTAGGGTTACGCAGGATTTAGTCTTGGGCTCCATTTACCAAGGTGCCATTTTGGTACCCCTCTTTTGAGCCACAGCCAATTTGCCCTTTGATTTGAAGGGGAAATCCAGTCACTCCCGGTTTCTGCAAGTGAGGCAGACTCCCCGGGTTTCCGAGCCATTTTTCATTTTTGTGGATCTTCAAAAGGGGCGGTTTTAGAGCAAACCACCCAGTCAGTTGCAACTGAGGGGGAAATCCAGTGACCCCCCCGCTTAGCCGAAGGTTTGTCGTGGGTGCGGAATTCCGCCCTTTTATATATATATATATATATATATATTTCCTTACATGGATTTGGGTAGACCATTTTTAAACCGAGTTTTGATTGTGACTCACCTTGTGAAAGGTGACTTAAGGCACTTATGTCCTTGAGATGGCGCCGCTGTTTGTCTGAATGGCACGTGTCTTGTGCCAACATGTTTTTTGTTTTTTCCGAATGAAGAGGCGGCCGTTTGAATTGAAGTCAGCCCTGCGAAAATTCAACCAGGCGGTTGATCAAAAGGTTTTTTACATGTGGTGACCATTAGGCAGAACCTTTAAACCAAACAAAAAGTGAATTCCCTGGCAGGAACATGGATCATACAGTGGATGGATGAAATCCATTTCGCACCACTTGGACACGATGGTTGAAACCATTGTTGGTTGCTATCTACCTTGGAATCGAATCATAAACCGTTGGGTTTCTGAGTTCGGTGGTGCGAACCGGATGGATGTCGCAGCCATCCACAGCACTTCCTGGAGTCTCCATGACCCTTCAAAAATGGGGTCATTGCCCAAAATTAAGGGGTTATGACCCCTTTTTCTAGGGGTCAGAAGGAGACTCCAGGTTCAGCTTTCTCAGGTTGGGACACAGGCCGACATGGCTGTGGGTCAAAAATAGGTGCCCAAACTGGAACGCTGGCAAATGGGACCAAAAAGACTCAAACCTGCGGTCCAATTCCTGGTGGTTGAATTTTGACCCATACCCACATGGTTTCGGCTCGCGAAGTTACCCGGGCACTCGATGCCATCGAGGTGCTGATGTTGGGCCGCCGGCTCTCGGTGAAGCAGTGGCTCTCGCTGGCGCTGGGGACTCGATCCGAGAACGAGCGGCGGCGGGGAATCCCCTCGACGGGCTCCCAGCAATTGGTGGCCGAGCTCCCACCGGTTCCTTTTTTCGGTTGGGAGGGTTCCCCTAAGTACTACAGAAAAAAAAAAAAAAAAAACAGTTGGTACCCTTTTTTTCTATCCTCTCTACTGGAGGACCTAGCCCCTAGTTCTTTTTGGTGTGTGGTTGATTTGCATTTTTTTTGGCGCCATAATATTTTCAGTTGGCCATTCTATTCATCACTTGGAGCAAATGTGGCTGAGCTCGCTTTGTGGAGCCTTGCCTCCTCTCAGTTGTCCAAAGCCAACCTTTTGACCTTTTGGTTTTCCAATTTTGGTCCATGTTTAGTAGAGGTGCCTGAAAAGGTTAACCTTTTAGTTCTGGGTCCTTTGGGCAACTGAGTCCTTCCTTTGAACTTCTCGGGGAGTATCCCTGATCCTCCTGGCCCCAAACGACCGCTAGGATTGGAAACCGAACTTAGCGCAACCGAAGCTGAGCAAAAAGGCGTCACCGAAGCCATGCCCAGGTAGGGCCTTCCAAGAACTCCAAAGCGCCCAAGACTTAAATGGCTGTGGCTCAAAATTCAAGAGCTAGCCTTACGCGGGTTTTAGTCTTTGCGGCCACTTACCAGGGTTCCATTGTGGTACCGGTTTTTTGAGCCACAGCCAAATGTTGGTGTGCGCCTTGTGCCCTTTCCCGTTCGTCCTTCAAGGGGACGCCCAAGTTTAGGACAGCCAAGCGCGAGGGAAAAATATATTGTGCAACGAGAGTTTGGTTTGTGAAAGATGGGGTTCCATGCTAAGAAGAAAAACAAAACATCTATTGAATTGCTCGACAGATAAACAACTTGCTGGTTCTCAGCAGGGAATGGGAAATGAAATGACCCCGAGAAAAACCAATCCGCTGTGGTTTCCGTTAAGGGACACCCTCGGTCATTCCCTACTGAGCACCAGCAAGACACTAGGAACTGTTGGAGGGCAGGGTTGGATTCGATATGTCTCAGGCTCTGCGATCAGCCTCCAACATGTTGGTAGACATAATTTTCAATGCCCATCAGCCATTTCCATGGTGAGGGATCGCGTTTATCAGTATTTTGTCTCGAACAAATGGGAACCCCAAACATGGTAAATTGCCCTTGCACTGTTCAAAACCAACCGAGAGCGGTTTCGGACCCCCCCCAAAAAAAAGAAAAAGCAAACACAAGCAACACAAGAACACAATTTTCGCCCAGCCATCCCCAGAAGTTAGGTCGTTCGGGTTTAGTGGTTGGATGTGGTTGGGTTTCCGTACCTTTGAGCAGATCAGAAAACGGACAGCCCAGAGAAGCATCCCCCACGACCCTGGCCCGAGCCCCTCAGCTCTCCCCCCCACCCAGCTTCCCCCCCCCCCCCACCCAGCTCCCCCCCTCCCCAGCGCCCAGCTCTGCGTTCCCCCCCAGCTCCACCCCCCCCAGCTCCCCACCCCCCGCACCAAGCTCACGCGCCCCCCCCCAGCGCCCCCCCCTTCCCCAGCTTCCCACCCCCCCAGCTTCCCCCATTGCGTCTATCAGTTCCATCCTTTCGGCTCTCGACGCCGTTTTTCCTGCCCAGTCTGCTGGTGCTGGGCGTCATCTTGGTGCAGCTTGCCACCCTCGAGGAGAACACCCAGTGGCGAGCGAGCGGGACGGTTGCAAGGCACCCTTCAAATGGATGTGCGTATAATATACATTGTAATATATATACATATATGTATTAATAGAATATATATATATAATATATAATATGTAATATAATATATATATATATATATATTCAAAAGAGGAAGCCCTCCAACCTCTTAGTTTTCCTTTTGGTTTCCCTACAAACCCGAAACAAAGGGGGTACCCTCAAGAAAAAGACAGACCCCCATGGGTTTGCAAACAACAAGCACTTTCATGATGGTCTTCCCTTCTAGAATTATGGTGTGCTCTCCATCCTTTTAACGCTTCATTCCTTGAAAACGATCAAGTGAGCCACATTCAAAACCCGGGTAGATGAAGGTTAGTAAGGAGCAGTCCCAGCCAGAAATAGCTGCGGCCGCCTTCTTAATTCTTTACATACTTCTGGGTAGACCATGTTAGTATTGGGTTTTGATTATGACTCAAGTGAGAGCCTGAGAGCCTACTACACGCTTGGGATCGCTTGGGGTCTGTGCCACTTCGCCAGCCAAAGCAAGGGGAGTGACTTGCGGGCCATTGGCACACGCCCTGTGAGTCCAGGCGAGCGCAGCGCTCCGAGATCCTTCCATTTGCTGAAATAAATGCAAATATATATATATATATACATATATATATATATATATATGTATAAATATGTTTCATGTCCCCTGTTGGTTTTAAAGGGAATCAATTTCACTACTGGATATACAGTGGATGGACGAAATCCTGCACCCCTGAGAACCCTGGAATGATTCGATTCCCGCGGAAATACCACAAACATTTGTTTTTTGAGGGCTTCAATGTGGTGCGAAATGGATTTCGTCCATCGACAGTATTTTCTCATTTTGTTCAGCGGACGTACAAGCAAATGGCTTGGCAAAAGACATGGCCGGGTCTAGTGGACCCTTGTGCCGCCTGAGGCGAACAGGGGGTCTATTCTGAGAACCCCCCAGCGCCACGTCACCCCATCGAACTCAGGATTTGAAATCCCCAGCTAGGCGAACCGGTTCGTGGTTGCCCTTGCTCTGTTGGCTGTCCTTTTTGCCCTTGCTTGGCCTTTGTGGGTGTCTTCTTGGTTTTCGGGGACCCCCCAAAATGGTGGTTTTGCATTTGGCGTCCCTTCAAACCCACCAAACGGCACAGGTTTCAACAAAAATAGTTACGCCGGACCCTATTCCTCGGCTTTTCCGCGCGCGCGAAATGCGAAACGCGAGGGTCTGCGCCCCTGCTTGGGCGTGACCAGAAAAGCGAACCGCAGGAGGGCGGTTCGAGCTCCCAGGGCCCGGCGCCCCAGGCAGTCGGCCACTCGCCTGACGTGGAATTCGGAGGTGTTGAACCGCTTGTTAATAGGGAGGTGTCCAACTGGGTTTAGTGGTTGGAATCATATCACTTCTGGAGGGGAAGGCCCCCTATAGATGAACTGGGGTTGAGTAGTAGTTGGTCAACATTCAGAATGCTTTTGGTTGTCCCCTGTTGGTTTCAAAGGGAATCGGTTTCTAATTTCTCATTTTTCGACGCGACTGAAGCAAGTGGAAGAACGTTACGGTTTGGGAGTCTTGTTTTTGTTGGCGGTTCCCAGCCGTCCCCGGTATTTTTTTGGGTGTTGACTTGGTTTTAGTTGGTTTAGTGGCTGGGTTTCCGTATTTAACCCACAAGTTGAACACTTTTAGCAGTGGATCAGATAACGGACAGCGCAGTTTTGTAATTGTGTTTGTATCATTGTTGGTTCTGGACACCCTGGATTAACAAACCCCTGTTGATTTTGATCGGGAGATGTCCCCCTTTTTAGTGGAAATTCAGTCCACTTTTGGATGGACCCCCCCCCCAAAAAAAATAAATAAACATCTGTTGTTTATACTCAAAGGGGCAGGGTAATTACTTGGTAAGTGGTTAGTAAGCCTGGTTATAACTCACTTAGGAGACTTATCACCATGGCTTTGGTGGCTTATCTCACCGTGGTTACTATCCACTTACTAAGTACCCTGCCCCTTTAAGTACCGGGGTTAACATTACTGTTGTTCCGGTTGAAACTCCTTACTGTAATTCGGGACCTTGGAGGTGTACACCCAGTACAGCCAGGTTAAAGAAGTTCACTGCATATGGTCAAAGCTTTCAGTCATTAAAACAAGAGCTCTACAAATTCGGTCTTGGGGTATGATTTTTGCGGTAAAGAGTTCAGACTTTTTCGGCCTGTCACGACTTTCTCCCCCAAACATGCCACGGATTGCACATGTCACGACTGCATGCTGTGGGTGAAAGGACATGTGGGTTTTTTTCTGAGGGCGCCGCTTGTAGGATGGTTGAAAAAAATAAGAAAGCAACAGAAACCCATTGGGGGGGTTGCGCTGAATAGGCACAGCCATGATGGAGACTCTTCATTTCATGCGGAGTTTTGGTTGTGACCCCCATGATTGTTCCGTTTTTTGGGGTCTCTTATCTCTTGGTAAATTCTCACCCATGTCCATTTTGGTTTTATGATATCTGCAAGGCACTGCCACCCGAAGTGGGAGGTCTGTCACTCGCGCCTAAGGACACGCGTCTGGCTGGGGAAGAGCCACAGGCGCCCGGTCGTTGATTCGGTCAAGGCTGGCTCAAAGTGGGGAAGCAGGTTGCGAACAATTGGTTGAAACAGCCGGAAAGGTTGTCCAACACTTGGGAAGTCATTTCCAGCACAAGGATACAGGTTGCATGCATAGGTTGTAAAGGGTCAAGCAGGCCGATGTTTGTCCTAAAGCGGAGCAGCTCCCGCTTGGTTCAGAATCTCTGGGTGCTCTACCAAGTTGCTCGTTCCACCAGGCGACGTTGATGTTTTGTTTGGCATGCCCGACCTCCAAATCGATAATTGGCGGAGTTTGTCGCAAAGATTTGTGCGCATACACACACAAGTCTTTGCCTGAGCACGGGTCAAGACCCGGATGGCAGGCCAATGCACGAAGAGCTCTGACTGACCTTGCGCACCAGTTGGCAGGAGGTTTATCCCATTGATTATTTCAAAGGGTTTCATATAATTTAATTGGTGCGAAGCGGATTTTGCCCTCCGACAGTCTGTTTCTCCCATTTGGATGGTTTAGTTTTGGCATCACCCTGCTTGCCTCGAATGATGTTTCATTCACATGGATCTTCTTTTTTGTCCTTTTTCTTTTTCTGGTCTCCCCCTATTTTGGTGATGTTGAAGAACACCAACCATTTAATTTATATGCACCATCAGCATAAAACCCCTCAACAACCCACGATTTGGAGGGGGGTCCAGGACCCCAACAGACACACTGCATGGGAACTCGCTAGTTCCTCGCTTCACCAGGCTTGGAGTTGGGCCTTGGGAAGTTTCTGCCACGCTTTTGAGGGGGAAGTGGTTGGATTTGAGGGATGATCGCTGGTCAAAACAAATGAGGTACTTACCTCTTAAAAACACAACTTTTCAACTTTTTGGGTAACATGGGCTATATGTCTGTAAAAGATTAACTTCCCCAGGGCTTGGAGTTTTAAGGGGTAGGGGTACCGTGGATGGTTGCAAAATGTGTTCGCACCACGAAACGAAACCATGGGAATGAAACCAGAAGGTTTCTTGGAAATGCCCAGGGGAATCGAAACATGCTAGGGTTTCTGTTGCTGGTGCAGGTTGCCGCAACCATGCGCAGTGTTACAAGAGGCTTGTTGCTTTGAGTGCAGTCTGCGGAGGTCCCTCGTGTCCAAACCTGCCAAGTTTACGGCAAAACAATGAGGTGGTAATAAATATAATATAATCAAATATAATACAATATATATATATATATACAAACAAAAACAAACAAAATAAACGATGGCGATCGCGGGAAGTAGCCTTGTCAGCCAGACTTGTTACGTGAACACAAACGCGAACGTTTTGATGTTCGAGCTGAACACTGACTTCTCTTGCTTTTGGTGGACACCCCCCGCAATGCATTTGCCAGCTTCTAGTGACATCTGGGTCAACATCGAGTAACATCGAAGAGCATCCAAGCTTGTGACCGTCACTTTTCCTTGAAAAAGCGACTCTGCCAGGCACCAAAAGTCTGTGTCAACATGTTCGTGGTTTGGCCCATTTAGGGGGATACCAAACCTGCCTGACATGAACCCAGCAAGGTTCATGTCCCAAAGATACGCTCCGTTCCCCCGAATCCGAGTTGTTGTTTTTTGGGTGCTCCATACTGTCCCAAAAATGCGCTCCATTATCCCAAATCTGCGTTGTTGTTTTTGCTAGGTTCCCCAGTAGTGCCCTTTTACCCAGTTTTTGGGGGAGGGTTCCCCTACTGAAATAGACTACTGATAAAAGGGTACCCTTATTCTAACCTCTCAAATCTGGAGGACCTAGGCTCCATACAAAACTCTTCCCATTGGGTTTGTGGTATCTGCAGCTCCAAGCGCCCGAGCGGCCGAGCTCGCGAACATTCCCCGCCCAGGCCTCTTGGCCACGGTGAGCTCTGCGGCGATCTCGGGTCTCGCAGGCGAGGAATGAGGAATTTTTCAGGGAGTCAGCCCTTGGGCGACGAGTTTACCCGACCTCTCACCAGTATTTGTTTTTTGGTTGGGAGGGTTGCCCTAACAGGCTGCGGAAGAAAGTTGGTGGCCTTATTCTAACCTCTCACATCTGGAGGACCTAGTTTTGCAGGTTTGCCTTGGTGCCGAAACTCGGACAACAACGGCACTCTTGCAAGGATGAGTTGGCTGTGTTTCAAACAAGACCTTGATTGTTCTTGGCAAGTTGGTTGGTTTACGGGTCAGGGGCTGCAAAAAGTAAGTTTGTTGCTACCATAGCAAGGTTGGTGAACAAACAAGTCTCCCATCACTGCCCAGACACTCCTGGGGCTTCCAATAGAAGACCCAGACCCTCCATTGGACATTTCAGAGGGGTTTTGGGGCCTCAAAACCTGGCTGTTTGAGGGCCCAAAATCAATTGGAAGCGTCTGGGTAGAAAAAAACCTACGGGACAAACGAAAAGAAGCAAATGAGCCCACGGAGACATAGCGTCAAAAGACCACCCCGGGATCCGTTTGATGCGAATGCCCAGACATGGGAAACCCAAAAGGATACCGTAACATATCTACTAACGGTGTTTTTTCCTGTTTAATGGACTTCAAAAAAACAAACAAAACAAAAAAAAAAACATCGGCGCGTTTTGCTGCGTTTCATGTGCGGCGCTGTTAAGGCCAGGCGCCAGCTCTCCGTCCGAGTCCGAGTCCGGTGACGCGCAGGCGTGTACACGGAGAAGATCCTGAAGAGCTCCCGGGTGACCTTGTGGGTGCGAGCCTCGGAGGCTTCGGAGCTTCCGAATTCGCGGCCAGAAGTCGATCCCCTTGTTGGCGGTTGGAGCTCAGAATTTGCTCTCTTTTGTTGTTGTTGTTGTTGGTTGGTGTTTCTTCTTGCATTTTTTTGGGGCTCCCTTAGGAATTTCCAGCAGGGCTCCCTCAAAAAAAAGAAAAATAAAAGCAAGAGGGCCATTGTTTGCAAGCATTTGACACATGGCTGGCCTTTTCAAGACCAGAATAATGAAATGGAAACAGCACCATTTACAAGTTGCAATGTTCAGGTGGTTTTCATGTAAGGATCCCTGTTTCGTTTTTTGTGTGTGGCTTTTTTGGGGTCCCTTTGTTTTCCACCAACCAGGGCAAAAAAGATCGTTTTTTGGCTGGGGCCCATAAAAAATCCAGCCTAGAGAGAGGATGCACATCGGCTGGCGTGATTGGCCATGGCGAGGAGCTCTTAGCGAACCACCGGAAAGTGGCTCTAGTGGACATATGTACATAAGTATATATCATATACTTATATACATAGATATTGTGAATTATATATATGCAGCGTATATATATATATATATATGTATTGCAATGTTAAGATAAGATGCACAATGTCTGCTTTCGCGGCAATCAAACTCATAGGAACTGTGCTGGATGAAGCTTTCGATTGAGGAGATGAGGTGACCCCACGCAGAGTTCTTTTGGGTCTGAGCCGAACAGTTCGTCGTCGACTCGGGCTCGTTTTGGTGGGACTGCCGTCTGGGTAATGTTGGCACTTGATTATAAAGGCCCCCCCCCCCGAACAATGGAGGCGCCAAAAGAAAGGGGGCTCACTTTTGGGACGTCCAAACAATGGAGGATTTTGGGGCCCAATTCTACTTGAGTATTGCAGCCACTTCCTTTTTGCAATTCTACTTCAGTATTGCAGCCACTTCCTTTTTGCAATTCTACTTTAGTATTGCAGCCACTTCCTTTTTGCAATTGTACTTTAGTATTGCAGCCACTTCCTTTTTGCAATTCTACTTTAGTATTGCAACCACTTCTTCCTGAGCAGACTTTTTGGAATACTACTTTAGTATTGCAACCACTTCTTCCTGAGCAGACTTTTTGGAATACTACTTTAGTATTGCAACCACTTCCCTTTCAGTTCTTTCTGTAGCCATTCAAAGGGGTGTGCCACCAATTGAAAGGGGATGCTTTTAAGCAAGTGGGCCACCAATTGAAAGGGGATGCTTTTAAGCAAGTGGGCCACCAATTGAAAGCGGAATGCTTTTGAGCAAAGCAACTTATAGTTTATTTTCTGGGAGGGGGGGCTGGGGGCTTGCAACTAATGTGGTCCCCTAAAAGAATGACATTATTGTGGTTCAGTGGGGTCTGTGAGGGGTACCCTTGTCCTGTTTTTTTGTGTACATTTGTTTTAAACACGGTTTAATAAAGAGTTTGCAGTTTCAGGGCTGGGGATGGTTTTCAAATTTCAGATGTTTCAGCTGGCTTTGGGTTCTGTGGTTGAGCAACCAATTGATGTTGGGTCAACGTGGATTTTGGGTGATTGTTTGGGGGGGGGATGGTTTTTAGATTAAAAATGATTTGCGGAGTTTTGTTTTTGGAATTTCCACCCCGGGCAAAACAACTTTCAATTATTCTGGTCCCCCTAAACAATGGGTGCGAACCAGAATAAGGAAAAACACTTGCAATTATTGACGCCCGGTTGATTAAGTGCCAACATTAGTTTGGATTGCCAGGGGCCGGGCTTGGAATGCATTGGCGCACCGGTATTGCCAAAAGGGTGCAAATGAAGGCACGCAATCGCTGTCCTGGACAAACGTAATTGTGGGGTGGGTCAAAATTAAACCACCAGGGACCACAGGTCTTGGTCCATGTTGCCGCTTACCAGGGCAAGCCATTTTGGGGACCTATTTTTGACCCGCAACCATGTCAGTTCTCCCCATCTTGCGAGCCATCGCCTTCAGACAATATCCCTTCCATCTTGCACGCAGATGTGCTCCCGCTGGGCACAGTTTGCCCTTGGCTATGGGGACATACCGTGGATGGAGGAAATCCATTTCGCACCACCAAGGAAACCACAGTTGAAACCACAGGTAAAAGTCGTATCTGTTATGGTGGTTCCGTCATCATCCCATGTAAAGGACTTTTCGATCAACCCGCATACTGTGGATGGACGAAATCCATTTCGCACCATTTGGAAACCATGGGAAACCATTGTTTGTGGGTATTTGCAGGGCAATCGAATCATTCCGATGGGTTTCTTAAGTGGTGCGAAATGGATTTCGTCCATCAGCACGTCCAAGATTCGATGCCTTCGGGTCCCTTCAGGAAGTCTTTGCATTTCCATTTCAAAGCCTCAAGGGGATCGTTTCAACCCCGTAGATTGATCCACTGGCGAAGCCCAGGGCTCCGTTACCACCATTAATTCAAAGGGGTTAATATAACCACCATTGTTTACTTCAGGACTTTCATGATCCAAGTTGGGTCAGACGGTCAACCATTCTTTCAATCGCGAAGGCTCTTGGTTTCAGCTTTACGTTGGACGCAACCCCAATAAGCAGCGCACCACCTTTTTGCAGCGTACCCCTAGGGTTCAAGTGCATTGAAAGAATAGCTGCCGTAACGTGGATGATGACAATCCTCAGGTGAATCATGGTGGTTATGTAGAACCCCCATTGTTTTAATGGTGGTCGAACTTCAGGGGTACGCATAGGGTCCGGCTAGTTTCGCAACAAGAAAATGAGACACAGCTGCACGCATGCATGCCATTGCATGCCGCAAAACCTGAGCAACGCAACTACCAGGGGACTTTGGACATGGGAAAAGCAGTTGTCTTGGTGGTTCCCAGCCATCCCCTGAGGTTTGTAGGTGTTTTTAGTTGGTTTAGTGGTTGGCAAGGTTTCCATATGTTTCCATATTTCACCCGCAAGATAAAGACACGTTTCTCCGGGTTCAGTTTGAACGGACAGCCCAGTTGTTGGGACCCGGGTGCGTAACTTGACCATGGGTGTCCTTTTGATAAAGTAGATGGCCCTGGATGGAATAAAACCCAGCTGAAACAGTGGCTTGCCCATCTATTGCAACCAAACCAACCGATCAAAACGGACGCCTATGAACCTCCTGAACCCTCAGACCCTTAAAAATGGGTGATTGCGCTAAACATATGGGGTGAGTTCCTTTTTTGTGGGTGTCAGGGTCTAGTTTCCCAGAGTCTCCATGACCCTTTAAAAACGGTTGGTCATTACCCTAAATAATGGTTGGTCATGGACCTATTTTTGATTCGGGTCAGAGGGAGACTCCAGGTTGGCGGTTTTTGGTTTCGGTGTTCAAATCCCATTTGAGGTCCGCAACGTGCAGCTGGCGGCCTGGTCTGCGCTGCCAGCTAGCCCAGCTGCAGCTTGCTTCCGGGCAGCTCATGGTACGGATTCACCCCTGCCAGATTGTCTGCCTATTTTATAGCGAGCTCACCTGGGGGGTTTAATGAGCTCATCATAAAGGTCCTTCACGTGGCAAGTTGTCAGTAACCTGGGTTCTCACCCACCAAGCCTCCCTAAGTGGGGTTGACCCAGTCAGTTGGTTATAACCCAGGTGGCTAGCCACTTGGCCACTTGGCCACTTGGCCACTTGACCCAGTCAGTAGTTGGCCTTTGACTTATTCTAAAACATGCCCATTCCCACATCTGGTGAGTCCCCTGGTTTTGGGAACCGCACATTTTATCACTTGCTGGTGTTGCAGTAGGGAATGAGGGAATGAACCCAGGCTTTGCTCCCCTTCAACCAGATGAATGTCGTAAAGGTCATGAGCCATTTCTCCGATTTCCCAGTAAGCAAATAAAGCGACTCCGGCTTCGCTTTTCCAGGCCCCCCAGTGCCCTTTTACCCTATGTTTGGGTGTTCCCCTAAAGTAGACTACAGAAAAAAAATGAAAGAAACGGGCACCCTGATTCTGACCTCTCTACCGGAGGACCTACTTTGGGCGGACAAATTCCTGCACCACTTTGAAACCATGGGACCTTTCTTTGTTGGTATTCACAGGTGAATCGACCCATTCCAGGGTTCCGTAGGTGGCGCGTTGCACGGATTTACCGCGAAACCATCCACGGTATCGCTTTGCTTGTGGCTTCCTTGCTGTCACAAGTGGCCTTTTAGGCCCCAAAACCGAAACCCGTTTTTGTTGCTTCCCCAATTCAAACACGCTCGACTGTCTCTCGTCCCCTCCTCGTCCCTCCTCGGCCTTCGACGCGGAGGATCGGCATCCTGGGGCTCGCCGGCACGGGTGACCTGCCAGGCGCCGGGAGGGGGGAAGTTTTGGCGGAAGATCGACCCGAGCGGGCGGGCGAGAAATGAAATGGCGGGCGCAACGCGCAACGCGCAAGCCGGAGTCATGTCTCTTTTTGTGTTTTTGTTTGTTGCCTTTTTTTTCCTTGGGTTTGGGTTGAGCTGGGTCTTTTAGTTTCCTGCCTTTTAACTGGTTTTCGAGGAGCTTCGCCTTTGACTGGTGTTTTAGTTTCCCTGTTCCAATTTTGGTTTTCTTGGTCACTTAATTTTGTGCATCAAGTGCCCAACCACACTCTTATTATTTCAGCTCGTCATTCGAATCTCACAGACGCGCTTCGAAGCTCATTTGCCCTCGAGGTGTGCTGGAGTTGGGCTTCTTCCATGGTCCGGGTCCTGTGCCGAGAGCCGCGAGCCTTCACGTCGGTCGGTCGCGAAAAACAGTTGACCGACTATGCTCAAGCTACCTGCACTAGGTCCCCCGGCTGGGTGCCTTTCTCACCCCTTTTTTGGTTGGGAGGAAACCCCCCTACTAAAATAGACCTACTGAAAAAAGGAACGGTATTCATTTTGGCAGTTGCAATGGAACCACCAGTAGATTGCACCTTTTGAAGAGCCAGTGATCCCTGACTCAAGTTACAGCCATGCTTTTTTGTCCCCATGGCCCATGGTTATAACCTTGGCTGAGCATGTAATCTTTAGGGGGACATTCCCAACAGAAATGAAGGCAGGACGCCCAAGTAGGAAGCCCAAGTCTGATTCCTGCATTTTTTCTGGGCACTTTTTTGCCCACTGTTGGTTTTCAAGCACCTGGTACTGTTGCTGGTGAGCCTTTGTGCAGGTGCTGACATTGTAGAACATCTTGAGCACACACTTCCCGGACTTGAACTAGTGAGGATCACTGAACAGCAATCAGACTTATCTGAGGTTGCCATTCTTCAGCGGGTGTGTCTTTTGATTTGGTCCCCCTTTTCTGCTGGTCTTAACTCGAGACCAAGGCTTGAACACCCAAAAGTGCGGCATGTTGGGGGTCCGGCTCCCTATACAGAAAGACGAGCCACCCAAGTGGGTGTGGCTCAAAATTTAAGAGCCAGGGCAAACCGCAGGTGTTGGTCTTTGTTTCCATTTACCTCCACTTGCCTAGGGGCCATTTTACATATTTTGGAAGCACCGCCAAGTGAGAAGCGGAAAAAGGACTTGGATCCTCGAGCGGCGCCTTTGCGACGCCGAAAAGGGAGCCCTTGCGAGGGGCTCACATGGCCGATTCGGGGCCCGGGTGGACGAACTTAGTTCAAGTAGCACAAGCCATGGTGGAACAGGGGTCCCTATATTTCCCTTTTTTGCTGGTTTTAAACATCACCTTTTTGGCCCATGAAAGGTGAGTATCCCTTGGTGGAGGTGATGTTTTAAGGGGAAGTATAGAGCCCTGTTGAACAAGACCTTGGGTTTGAGTCTAAACGGCCAGAGAACGGGGCATAGATTTCCCCTTTGGTTGTCAAAGATAGACGGTGCCTCAGGGGTTCCTCCAGTTTCCTTTTGTAACCTCCAAAAGTGGTGATTCTTTCCCCGGAACTCACCAGTAAATTGATCAACTGTAGATTTGGGGAACTGAGCCCTGTTCCTGGTTGACCTGCTTGTTTCTCAGATTGCTTTGCAACGGTTGCCTAAGGCTACAACAACTGGATCTGGGCATCCGCCTTCAACAACGCTTTTGGAGGCCGGTGGGCCTTCGCCGCCGACCGACGGGTCAGCCGCCTGTTTCACAGCGGTGTCCCTTCTATGTTCCCAATGCGAGTTTGGACAGGTGCATGTGTGTGTGTACTCAAATGAGCGACCACCATGGTGTTTGTTCCTTATGATTCCCTTCAAAACCACCTGACAAGGGTACTCTGAAACGACAAACACACACACACAAGCATGTGAGTATTTCTTTCTCAAGGCCTGGAAGCGAAGAAGCTTGGTCCTTAAGCCAAACCAGTTATCTCCCCTTTTGCGAGCTGGTCATATTTTGAAGCTTTCATTCGGGTTGCCCTCCAAACAACCCAAATAGAAAGGGTTACCCTGGCCAAAGATCAGATCCACCAGATATATTTTCCATCAAATTGCTCTTGCGAAGGCGAGGACTGTCCCTTCTGCCCATATTATGTAGCCCTGCCATGGTCATTTCGACTGGTTCCTTTGGGCTTAGCGTTGGGATGGTTATTTACCTGGTAAGGATCCTTGATGACCGTTCTAGTGGTACCCTCCCCATTCTCTTCAAGGATTATTCTCTTCAAAAAGTGGGCCAAACACCTGGGAAAAAAAGTGGTTTCTCAAGAGAACGATAAGAGAACGATGGGCGAAGAGAATGGGGAATCAAACCTTAGGATATTTTGCAATGCTTCCTATTAAGTGAACCACGACCCAATCGGCCAACGGACTTTTTGACCATGACTCATCAGGGGCCTGGGCGATGGTGCCTTGTGACGTTGCCATCAGCAGGCCTTTTGAAACAGAGAGAACTCAGGTCCCGGATATGCGACCAGACTCCGCTGAGACTCCGCGAGGTCCACGGTTCAACCTTTGGGACCCTTTCTTACACTCAGTTGTTCAAAGCGAATCGACCTTTTGACCTTTTGGTCTTCCCTTTTTGGTCTATTTTTGGTAGAGGTCCCGAAAGGTTAACCTTTTATTTGCAGGTCCTTTGGGCAAGTGAGTACATCTTTCACCTTGACACACACTTCACATTGACATATCTCCACCTGGAGTCTCCATGACCTTTTAGAAATAGGTCCATGACCAACCATTGTTTAAGGTAATGACCAACCAATTTTAAAGGGTCAGAAGGAGACTCTAGGCAGAAGCAAGGTGTTTTCTGTGGAATGTTGCTCCGCCGCTCGCAGGCTTGCTGATCGCAGTGGGGAGCCCCGCTTTCGGCGCTGCAAAATGTTCGAAGGCGTCGAAAGAGGGGTACTCCCCCCCAAGGACCCTATGGAGAGATGGGTGTGGCTCAAAATTTGAGCGCTGGGGCAAACCGCAGGTGTTGGTCTTTGTTTCCATCCAAGGGGCCCAAAAATGGGTTCCGCTTTTTTGAGCCACAGCCAGATGCGACCGATTTGTTTCACGCTGCCCTTTCTTTGGGCACCACTGGGGAAGCCACTTCAAGACTCGGCTCCCGGCCATCCGGTTCCTCGGCTTTTTTTTAAAGCTGTTTGGTTGGTTTAGTGGTTGGGTTCCGTATTTAACCCACTCCATGTTATTCACTTTTCGCGGGGGGATCCGACGGGCCCAGAAAAAGGGTTTAAGATTCCGAGCCACCCAGCTGAGCCACAATGAAAACCGGGTAATGTTAACCCCGGAAGAATAAACCCCTGGTTGATGAATAGGGGGGTGTCCCGTTTTAGAGGGGATTCATCACTTTTGGAGGGAACACCCCCCTAATACTGGTACAGGTTTATTAATCCTGGGTCAACATTAGATGAAGGCTAGTAAGCTAGTAAGGGACAATCCCCTTGCCATAAACAGCTGCGGATCTCCGCCTTCTGGGGTCATGAACCCCATTTTTTAAGGGTCAGAAGGAGACTCTAGGTACCGGCTTGGTTTTGAGCAAGTTTGTGGCTCGGCTTTCGATAAGCTGAGGCCGTGATCAAGCATGCGGACAACATCCTGAAGAACTTCGCGACCTCTGTGTCCATTGCCCTGGCCTCAGTTGAGCCACGTGCTCAAAGCCGAAACTCGGGTAGATGAAGGTTAGTAAGGGGCAGTCCCAGCCGGAAATCGTTGCGGATATCCGCCTTCTTAATTCCTTAATTACATGGTTCTGGGTTCACCATTTTTGTGCCATGGGTCTTGAGCAAGTGACTCAGTTCTTGCCTCATGTGCCGGAACTCGAGAGACTCTACTTGCAGAGGCGATCGATATGGTGAAATAAGTCTCAGATCTGTGGGTTTGTGGGTTATTTCGCCAGGCTTGCTCTCACCACTTGCCTGACGTACCGAATCGATCGCCGCTTGTAGTAAAACCCGGGTAGATGAAGGTTAGTAAGGGATACTCCCAACCATAACTAGCTTCGGCCACCTTCTTAATTCTTTACATGGTTCTGGGATTACGACCATTTTAATACCGGGTTTTGATTGTGACTCAAGTAGTCTTTCGCGCTTCGATGTCGTCAGCCCTTTTGGCTGCACTTGGAGAACTTCCATACCACATGTTCCAGCTTGCATGTGGCCTGCTGCCCACTAACATGGGACACACCAGGGAAATGGTCCCAATTTGGCTCACTTCCCGAGTTTATGGACTTTGCAGCTTTTCGGGAAGTCCAAATTTGGTGGCAAGCAAAAAGTTCGGACCTTTTTTTGGGCCAGTCCACTCAATCGGACGTTTAAGGGAGAATGTTCGTCTTCCAGGACGCCCCATTCCGTGCTATAGCGGACGCCCCAAGAATCGGGCGGCGGTTTGCCATTTGAAAGGCGGCGAGGGCCCGACTTTAGGCAAAGGACATATGGCCGTGGGTCAAAACCAATGGTACCATTTTGGGCTAGGTGCACTACCTCATTTTGGTCTTTTTTTAGTGGGGATTGGGATGGCCATGGCCATATGGCTATGAATTTTAAAGGGAACCCCCTGAAAAGTGATTGGTGGACAAAACTCCCCACCTAAATGATGTCCACCAAAGGGTCCCCAATTAAAATTCATACCCATATCAGAAACCCACCCACGTTCCCGGTTTTTGGGCTGAGATTCTGGGCTTTATACTCTTTGGAAACACCGTTCTATAGTGGTAAACCCAAGGCTTATAGACTTGTTTTTGGGTGTGGTACACAACTAGGTCCCCCAGTAGTGCCCTTTCTCACCTTTTTTGGGGAGGGTTCCCCTACTAAACCAGAAAAACACACAAAACAAAAAACGGCCGGGTGATTCTAACCTCTCAAATCTGGAGGGCCTAGACCAACAGCACGTGTTTTGCCCTTTCGTTGCGGGGCCAAAAAATCACCAGCTGACTCCCCCCTCGCTGACCCCTTGCCCTCGGAGCCCTCGAAGCCCTCGATTCCTCGGATCGGAGGTGCTGACCACCGCGGTGTCCACGCAGCTCTTTGGGCTGCAGATCACCTGCACCTTCCTGGCCGGAGTGGTCTTCGTGTGGCCCCCGCCCGGATTTTCCTTGCGACTCGTCGTGCCTTTTTTTTTGCGACGGGGGGGGGGGGATTGCTTCCGGGTTGGGTGGCGCCTTGTTTTTCCTCCTTATATTTGATTTTGCCACGCGCTTCGTTTTGGTTTCTTTTCGGAACGATGACTACGGCGCGATGAGTGGTGCCGTGTTTTTTCTCGCAAGGGCCGTGTTTTTCTTGGAGTTGGTACCCCGTTTTTGGTTGGTTCTCGAGGGAAACCGAAAGGACACCAGGTAAATTTGGGGTTGCCCAAAAAGAGACACACACACACACACACCCGGCCACATCCCTTTCTAGAAAAACCGGATCAACCCAAAAAGGGATCCAAGTCTTTTTCTGGGGTCACTGAACATGCTTTCACAGGATTCCGGACCTATCAGCGGCTTGGTCACTCTGGAAGTGATCCGATGCTGTGTCCGTTTGCTCGGCAAAGAAATGGGATGACTAGGTAGCACGGTCGGGATCCGCGGCAAATTTGCATTCTTCGGACCTGTCGCCGGTTGACCCTCAAGCCTTTCCTTTCAGTGCGTCAAATATGAAATGGAGCATGCTAATGTTAATCTATGGTTGATTTGGGGCTGTGGTGCCGAGTTTCCTCAGTCCCGAACAAAAACAGGGGTTCTACCCAAATAAACCAGATAGGTAGTGTTGTCCGTTACTCATACCTGGAGTCTCCATGACCCCTAGAAAAAGGGGTCATAACCGCTTAATTTTGGTAATGACCCCATTTTTAAAGGGTCATGGAGACTCCAGGTACACATACTTTCAGGATTTTGCTCAGTCAAACATTGAACTCCGGAAGTAGCCAGGTGTTATTCCATCTTCCTCTATGGCGGTAGCCGAGCTTTTCCATGGCGGGCAAAGGCGGGGGCGACCGGTCGATCCACCGCTCGCTTGGCGCTGACAATACAGCCTCAATGAGTCACAGCACGCGTGCGGAGTTGGAGAACGAGGCGGGAGCACCCGACCATTTAGCAAACAACAGCCGTAGACTCTTGATATTTGACGAATACAAGCCTCGGCTGCTTTCTGCTCCCCTGCTAAAAGTTTCTAACTTTTAGCGGCTTAATACGGAAAACCCATTAGTTGGCAAAAAGCTAAAGTCCTAACATCGAAACAAAATGCAACAAAGAAGCAGTACAAGCGACCAAACCAATATGACAGGCTGCCTACGTGCTAATGAATACATTCGGCGATATGGGTGTGTCTTTTTTGAGGCTTCCCCCTTTCAAGGATTCTAAAGGAAAACCAAAAAACCAAAGACATTGTGTGGGTTCAAAACAAGACCGCGCGAGTGGTGCTTCCTTGCCTCACTTGTCCTAGGCGACCTTTCGAGCTTCGGTGGATGGCTTTACCGGTACCCCCTACTCCAAATACCCTCTTTTTTCAGGGTATCATGTCGACCCTCTACTAAAAAAGGAGGTATTCCAAGCATGCTCAAACACCACAAGCATGGTAAACTGCCCTCCGTCCAATTAACATGGAACCTGACTCAGGGAAACCAACTAGCATGGATACAGGGGAAGCCAGGGATACGGGAGGATTCCCCCTAGATGCACCTTGACTAAGTTTGATATGGGAAATGGCGCCAAGGGAATCCCCCATATCCCCGCTCCCTTCATATCCCTGCTTGTTTGTTTGTCCAACTGACAGGGACCTCCCTACACGAAAATGATCTTCCGCCTCCCGAACGTCAGGTTCCGCGTTGAGGGTCTGGGTCCAGTGGAACCGGGATACCCAACAGGAAGGTCGTCTCTCCGCACCGAGGGTCGGCTTTTACGACAGGCGCAGAGGTCCTTTTGATCGATGTTGCGAGGTTGGGCAATGCAACAGATGGGCAAGCCAGTGTTTTAGATGAGTCTTATTCCATTTTCCAGGGCGATGTGTGAGTTTGGGCAAGGAAATAGACAGGCAAGCCACTGATTTAGAAATTATGCCATCCATTTACCGGGGAAACGCATTTGCCACTGGTTTAGAAATTAGTATTTTATGCCATCCGATTCCCTGGGAAACCGGGGAACCCATTTGCCATTCATTTGTCAGGGAAACCAAAGCATCTATTTTACTGCAAGGACCATCGAAACGCATAGGGTCGAGCAGTTCACTGCACTCTGAGGTCTGTAACGCCTTAGTAGTCTCCGCATCGGAGTCATCCAATATCAGAGTTTCTTGAAAGGCGGCTGGCTTGCGAGCTGTCGCCCACAGCTTCTTGGTGGAACAAGAAGATGTACCTAGAGTCTCCATGACCCTTAAAAAATGGGGGCGTTACCCTAAACAATGGGTTCATGGACCTCATGGACCCATTTGTTTCTGGGCCATGGAGACTCCAGGTAGCGAGTGGCTTCTGCAACTCACCGGCCAGGCCTCCTGATGCGAACTCGACAGCTGGCTCGCCCGGGGAAGAAAAGCTCAGTGCGATGCATCCAGCTCCCGCGGTTGGTTTCAAAGCTAGGTCGCCCAGCAATTGGTGCCCGACCTCTCACCCCTTTTCTTTTGGGTTGGGAGGGTTTTTCGACTATATAAAATAGACTACAGGAAAAAGGGTAGCCTTGTTCTAACCTCTCTACTGGAGGACCTAGTAAAGCTTTGGGAAGTCCATTTGTTCCATTTGCTGAAATTAATATGTCTTCTGTTCCCCTAGCTTTTCAAGGAATCGATTTCACTACTGGACGTATTGTTTTGTTGTTTGGCTGGGGACGAAAAAGCAAATGGAGGAATATGGATTCAGAGCCATAACAAATGGAGGCGTTGGGAATGTGATGGCCCTTCATGGTCCCTACTTGGATATTCGATTCGCCAAGTTAGTAAGTGGTTGGCCACGTTGGGTTATATCCCACGAATGACAGGGTTAACTCCACAGAGGGGAACACAAGCGGGTTTTAGCCCAGGCTACCAACAACTTACTCAGCCGAACATCCAAGTAGGCTAGGTCCCCAGTAGTGCCCTTTTACCATTTAAAGGATTCACCTACTAAAATAGACGACAGAAAAAAAGGGTACCTTTATTCCAACCTCTCTACTGGAGAACCTAGCTTTGGCTTTTAGATGTTTTTGCAACGGAATGCGACCCCAGCTGTGGGAACTTTCTGCGGCTTTCGCAGCCTGTGGAGGAGGGAGTTGTTCAACCGTTTTCGGTGGACTTCGCCGCGAATCCAGCTTCGGAAGCACCAGGAGGTTGGTTTAGTGGCGATTTCCGTACTTAACCCACTAAAAGGTATTCACGTTTAGCGCATCAGAGAACGGGCAGCCCAGGTAGGTGTGCTTTTTGATGAGTTTCGATGAACACACATTGGGCGATTCCTGTTTTGCCTGGTGGTTCAATCAACCAGGACCATCTATTTGCCAAACAAGACACCTATGCAAATTGCGCCCACAGCGTGATTCCTGGTTTGCCTGGTCCATCTATTTTCCAAGAAGGACACCTGTCCTTCCAACATAGAGGTGCAGGGACGGCTTTGGTTCTTTCTTGGTTGTGGGTAGCCGAGTTACATTTGCTGGATGTTGAGTTTCAGCAGCGAACATGAACATTGAACTGGCCATTTGATTTGCATCTCAGCTTATTGTGCAGTATGATAATACATAAACTTACCAGATTTTCGTTCGATCCTGGATGAGGAGTCTTGAACTTATGAATATGGTGCACTCGTTTACATGCACTGCGTGCAGGGATTCTTTCTGAATCCTTCATTTTTGAGTCTGAGGTTGGCAGCTTTCAATGGACGCATCTGTGAAGTCTCGTCTCTTTCGTTCTATCCTCGTGGCCGTCTTTGGCTTCCCCTTCAGGAAATAGCAAGGGAAGGGGTTGCCGCAGAAATGGCGCTACAAAGCCATAAGCACCAAAACACAGATGACAGGTCAAGAAGTCCATTCGACATTCCAGCATGACATGCTAAAGGCATATTGAAGGTCAAATTTGTCTTTTCCCGTGTGTGCGGTAATGTTTCGATGCCATCTGGGTGTGTCTTTCTTTGAGGGTACCAAGTCTTTTAGTCGTTTTTTTTTCCTGGGAGAAAAAAAAGGGGGAACAAAACAAAACGAAAGAACAACCTTTGAGCCATGTGGGTTGGTTTCCCAAAAAAGGTTTCGCCCAGTTGTGGTCAGCGCGCGGGTATGGGTCAACGAATGTTACTGGGGGACAGATGGCTTTGGTCCATTCCACTTACCAGGGCAAGCCATTACCGTTTTTTTGGACCAGCCAAGCAAGATTGGCCCCTTTTTTGGTGTTTCCAATTACCAGGGCAAGCCATTGCCTATTTTGGACCCACCGCCAAGCAAGACTGGCCCCTTTTTTGGGGCAGGGACCGTTCCTTGGCCTTGGCCAACCGCCGAAAACAGCCGGCCGGTCATGGAAGCAGCCGGGGCGCCAAGACGGGGAGTTGGGAGCGCTGCTCAGCTGTGCGGGTTCCTGAGGTTTTTCGACTGATTTCGCCCATCAAAGGGTTTAACTAGGTCCCCCAGCTAGGTGCCCTTTTACCTCTTTTTTTTGGGGGGAGGGTTCCCCTACCAACATAGACTACAGAAAAAGGGTACCCTTATTCTAAACTCTCTACTGAAGGACCTAGGTTTGGTTACGGGAAAATCTACAGGAAATGATCCCAAAACACCCCAAGTACGCTGTTTTCCTGTAGAATTTCCTGTAACCCAACCCTTTGAACCCACTAAAAGTTAAACCTCTAGCGGGGGATCAGAAATCGGACAGCCAGAAACGAGGTTCACTCTCGGCCCGTACGAAACATGTTTGGGGAAGCCCTGGCAATATGCAATCCGTTCTTTAAAGGACCAAGGAATCTTGGCTTGAGAGTTGCTCCCCAACTTGCATGAGTAGAAGACTCCAGAAAGGGTTGCACAAATTCATTTTCGCCCGTTGGTTGAAGTATTTTGTTTACCCTGGGCCCTTCAGAAGTTTCAAGCCTGCTTAGGGTTTCTCGTGTTGCTCCTCTTCACTTTGCTCCTTTACCGATCCGTCTTGCTGGGGCGTCCTTAAAAAATATCTAATACTGTCGGGTAGACTGAATATCAGCCGAATCTGCAACATAGTTTCTGAGCATACCGCAGATCTGGACCAAGTGGTGTTTTCTTTTTTGAACAGTGCTTGTACCCTAGATGTGGACCCATGAGCCAGTTGTTTGTTTTTAAACAACAATGTTGGATCGCCTCTTGCAATTCTGTGCTGTCCCTCAGGTTTCACCTTTGCCTTGGCGTTTCGAGTGAAGACGTGGACAGCCATGGCTTTTCGAAGGTTTCTCTCAGTATCAAGAGCCGTTTCGCCAAGTGTGTTTGAGGGTTTGAGACAACAAAGAGACCAAAAAGAGAAGAATCGACCACGTGAGCACATATTTGGGCGTGTGTCTTCTCTTGTTTAAAGGGCAACGGACCTTTTTTTTGGTGCTTTTGATAATAGGACGCCAACACAATCACCATGTGTTGGGTCCCCCTATTCTGAGACATAGCCATTCGCTTTTGAGTCGGCAGTCGGCTTGGTTCTGGGAAGTCCGTCAGGTTTGGGGATTCGAAGCTTTCGAAGCCCTGGTCCTCGTAGCGCTTTGTAGAAGGGGAAACCGAGTGGACTTGGCGAGTCTATGGCAGTCTTGGAACCATAGGTGGCCTTTTGGAAAAGTAGATTCGGACTTCGCGTGGAATAAACCAACCAAAAAAACACCTAGGAATCGCCCAACCCATTTTATTTTTTCCCGGAAAACCAACCAGGAAGGACACCTAGAGTCTCCTTCTGACCCTTAAAAAGTGGTCATTCCCCAAAAGTCATGGTTGGCCATGGACCCATCTTTATCTAAAGGGTCATGGAGGAGACTCCAGGTATTTCGAGGACCCCCGCAAAGGCGTCGGTTTTCCTTCAGGTTTCCCTTTGAAACCACGAAGCAAGGAGTACCAACTCCCAGAAAGTATATGAGCATGGAGGAGACAGACTCCAGGCGCTGAAGGCTTGGATCCTTTTCCACGGGTCCAGAGAATCCATCCAGCGAGAGGTACGATGGCCGCCCAAGTCCCAGAGCCTGGTGTCCTGGCCTCGGAGTCGATGAGTCGAGCCACGCGGGTCGTCATTTCGGGTGGTTCGGTTCTGCGGAAGCGGAAAAAACCGTGGGGGTGGTATGGGTCGCCTTCCGTTTTAAATTTGTTGTTTCCCGTGTTGGTTTTCAAGGGGATTTATATATGGGATGTTGTTGCCAGGCAGCTTAGGCAAATGGAAGCTGAACGGGGAACACCTGAGCCACGTCCTCAAAATCCGGGGGAGATGCAGGTTAGCAAGTATCAATCCCAGACATAAATGGGTGCGGATATCCGCCTTTTCAAGTCTTTACATGGTTCTGAGTAGACCATTGCACTACCAGGCTTTAGCTATGACTCACCTGGGTCTGGGTCAAAACAACACCATGATATAGACCGCAATTGAAGGTCCATGTCTCCATTCTGTAGGGCAACCCATTTTCGAGGCACCCCTTTTTTTTGCCAACCACACCCACCTTTGGATGTAGTGTAAAAGGCAAGCCGCTTGAGAAAAATCCGGGCTTTCTGAGATTCTGGTTTAGTCTTGGGAGAAATCGGTTATGTTTGGGGAGACGGAACTTGTGAGGTCCTTGCGGGGTTGGTCCAAACTTCTTTGCAGTTGCAGAAATGTACACAAGTTGTCTCACTTCCTGAGTTCATGGACTTTAGTCACTTTTCGGGGTTGGGGAAGATCATTTTAGTAGAAAGCGAAAAGTTTGGCTGCCTTCCATTTGCTTAAGAATATGATTAGTTTTTCCTGTTGGTTCTGAAGGGACTCTCGCACTACAGGAAATATGTTTATTTTTTCCAGGCGACTTAAGCAAATGGAGGCTACTTTTTCAGGGACATCCGCTCGATCGGAAGTGACTTGTACGCAGAGTTAGCTTCAATGCGAATCACGTGAAAACACATGTGAATTATGTGTGGTTGGTTTACTTGCAATAGTTCAATATTTAGCGGCATCCACTATACCGCAAGCTGTTTCTCTTCCGACTGCTGGTTTGCCCTTTGATCTCGAGTGCTAAATGCTATAGATCACAATGATGTGTTTGGTGTGCTTCCAAAAACTCAATTGACCCCAGCCGTTAGTGGTTTAGCCAATTTGAAGAGACGCCGACAAAAAAACTTGCAAGTGCTTGTTGTCTCCTATATCTTTCCACCAAACTGCTCAAAGTTAAACTTGTAGCAGGGGATTTGAGCACTGCCCAGATACATGGGAGAAGTGGTCGACTAAGGATCAACAAGCCGTGTTTGCAAGCAGATTCTCCGGGCCCATCATTCACGATTCTCCATGTCGGAACCTCGCTTGGTGGTTCCGAGTATCCATTTATGTCATATCCAACCAGAAGCTTTACTTTTCTCATGGGATCAACCAATGAACAAGTCCGATCGTTTGGGGTGCTTG